ATCACATGGGTGCAATTGGTGTAGCACTTTTCATGATACCAGCCACACCATTTACTCCTCCCTGAGCTCTTGTGCTGGCAGAGAAAAGCCCAGATATGGTCGTCCTTCTCTCGAGCAGCACTGACGATGCGACACCAACTTGTAGTCTCGATATTACTCACTGCAGGCTTCTCGTTTTTACTAAATTGGGCGCTGTGACACAGACACAAAATTCCAGCAATATTACTCCGCTGGGCTGTCATTTGCCACTTCGTTGCCGTCAGCTGCCTCATCCAGCACCTCGCTGCCACTAGAAACGTCTTCCTCTTCTTCCATTGTTGTCAAAACAACATCAATGTACACGAAAGGAATAAACTTCAATAAAGTGATCACAATATCCCAAGTCGATATTGTCGTCAACGTCGTCATCTTCTAAAAATAAATTATTTTTCCTCACTCTACGCGAACTCGTGTTTTGCGCTTGCTCATACGACGCACACCTCACCACTCGCGTAAAAATATTCGTTCTCACGGTGGAATTTGGTCGAGAAAAGAAGCCCTCGCGAAGGTCTCTGGATCGGTTCTGGAACGTCCAACAAGCGAAAACGTATCCTTTGTGATGTCCTTGACCAACACTGTAAGCGGCGATTTGTCCATCCGAGAGTGCAACGGCACTTGTGATTTTGAGTTTTGGCTCACGGACTACGAGCTCGATTCAGCCGTTCAGCCGAAACAAGCGCTTGTTTACGTCACTATTACCATGGAAATGGCTGAAAAATGTCGCGACTTTCAGCCGTGGCTGACTCTCAGCCGTTTTTTTCCGGCTTGTTTCAGCCACAGCTTGTACAAGCGGCTGAAAGCCGAAATTCAAAAAATAGTTTGAGTGCGCTTCGGCTTGGAGCTCCGGAGCACACCATGTAGCTAGTTGACATGATGAACTGATATAATTATTGATGTTCTTTCTTGTGTCCGTGGAACCGTGCTATCCCTGTGCCTTTGGTTTTGACCGTGAGTCTGTCTACCCCAACTACACTGTATTCAGTTTGATTTGGATTTTGTCCAACGACCATGGATTTCTGCCGCTGTGCCTCTAGACTGCTGCGTAGATTGTTGGAGCTGTGGTTTGAGGCCAAGACAAGGCACCACACTCACGACCGAATTCATGAAGAAAGCCGGGTACGAAGAAGAGAGTGGTTTGCAACTGAGTTCAATAACGGCAACCGGCGGGGCAGAAAGCTCGACATCAGGAAACACCACCCGAACCATCGCGTCCATGCACACCGAACAAATAAAAAGAGCACGACTTCGCAATTCAGAATCCGGGCTTCCTTCGCTTCTTCATCAAAACTGAACACTAGAACAAGTACAGTTTTAGATCGCGAACGTTCTGCTCTCCAGTTTCTTGCAAACATTGGTGTGTTTCGAGATATTCAAAATTTGGCGGGTAAGAAAAACAAGCCATTCATGAAAGCTTTGCACTCAAGGTCTGGTGTGACCGTGTCACCGGGATCACGCAAGCCAGCCGAGCGCCAGCGATAACAAGCCCAAAGTGGCTTGTTTCGGTGTGACCGGGGCCTTAGACCATCCCACTATGCCTGCCTGCATGGATGCAGTGAATGGGATTTTCGGTCTTTGACCACTTGCTGGTGAGCTGATCTACTCACCTCCCACCGCTTTAGGAGCTGCATCTGCGCCTTGATCCTTGAAGGGTGGTGGCGTTCCTACGGATGCGGAAAACCCGGCTTCCAGCCGAGTCTCATGCGAACCGTGAAATTTTTTTATATTTGTTTTACTTTAACCGATGCACAAATAATGTAGTAGAGGTACTTCAAGTATTTTGAAAATTGAATTTGATCACTATTGGCAATATTATTACTATAGACGATAATTACGATTATTGTGGTAACTGTGCAATTAGTTATGGCAAATGAAAATGAATTTGAGAAGTTCGGATCACTATAGCCGCTATAATTCTTCTGCTTCTTCTTCTTGTATTTGTACTTGGTCCGGCTCATCGCAATTGTCGCTTATCTTTCGCCACTAAGAACAGGATTTTTTTTACCGCTCTGTGAAATGTCAAACGGACATAGTGAGGAAGCATGATACATGAATACTCTCCGCCACAAGAAAAAAATTTCAGCAATGGAATCAGGTGAAGCGAGTCGAAGACAGGAAGCAAGGTAAGCGAAATGCACGAAATAAATCAGCGAAGGAGCGCGTTCTTGCACTCACACTAGTAATACAGGTCCAAAGTTCACTCAACTCTGCATCTCTCGAGCCGCGTCGTTACATGAGCTGACATTTGCTGGTGTCTAGCTGCTGGCGTAGACTGTACTGGTAGAGTATCTCTTGCGTTCTCAGCCTGTCGTATGGCAGCAATGGGAAAGGAACAGTTGTGGCTGTCACTTCAGTGCTTGAACTTTGAAGGAACCGTGGGCAGTGTGACCTGTGTGTCACCACAGTGTGTTTCAACAAAGCCTTCAAATGAGGCATACAGGCCTCTCCAGACAGGTGGCATACGCTCCCTGGATAGGCTGGCCACGACTCTTGTAATGCGGCTGCTAGGTCCACCAAGAGAAGGAACAACCAACAGGTCGGCCGGGCACATCGCATTAAAAACACCTTTCTTCTTCAGCATGATCAGATGATGCTCACACTCTTCTGCCGTGCACTCGTGCCTGTCACGCTCTCCAGGCCAGGATGTCAGTTGCACCTGCTACAGTTCCGGTCTTCGGGTCGCTGCGCTTGGCTTTTGGCAACACAGACAGTGAATGGCCAGATTCCCACTTCCCAAAAAAGTCGAATACATCGCGATTCAAAGCGCTAGTCGCGATCATTTTTTCTTTGGTGCCTACTTTGATCTTGCCATCACGACCCCCCAAGCAAAAGTAAGTTAGATATCGTGATTGGACTGGGTTTTACCTGTCAAAAAGTGCGTGGGGGATAAGCGACAATTGCGATGAGCCGGACCAAGTATTTTATTATATTTAAGGATTTCCCAAAGGCTTTGGGCTTGTCGAGGAGATCTCCTGCAAGAAGAATGAAATGACAACTTTATGTAGAGGGAGCAGTTAATCGAGGATAGGCTAAGGAAATAGATCGAGGCATGCAAAATCTGGTAATTAAGGAGTTGGGATACAGTCAGTGTAATGAATATATCGGCGAAAACGCTGATAGAGAGAATGCTTGAATTCGGGGAGGCTGGTTATAGAGGTAAGAGAAAGCGGTAGGCAATTCCATAGAATTGCAGCTCTTCGGTATCAAAACAAAGATGCTAGAAATAGAGCGACAATTGAAAGGACGATAAATATCTGATTATTGCTCAACCGAAACAGTAGAAAGGTGCCGGAAGTAAAATAAATACTAGAGGTCTGTGTGTATGGGAGCTACGGTGAGCTTCAAATACTAGTAGTTTGTGTCCAATCCATTCGCTGATTACTAGTATAAAGTCTTGGCAAGGACTTAAGAGCAGTCCTTCCAATTGCAGGAACTGAACGACCTGTGATGGCTCGGTGAGGATGGCTTCTCGTACATCTGCGAACACAGCCAAATTCGAGAGATCTCTGCTACTCTTCCTGGACGAACATTTGAGCAGTAGGTGGTCGGCGTTCTCAGCCGTCCATACATACGATTCGCAGTCTGGCGAGGCCAGGTCGTGCCGAGATTCGATGGAAGTACTCATTAAGGAGACTGCTGTGTCCAGTGAGGAGCTGGTTAAGAGTAGACGTTGTTTTGCGCCCAGTGTTGTCTGGGCCAAGTGTTGTCTGGGCCAAGCTTCTTGAGCTTAGCCCTATAATAAGTATTACTATAGCCGCCAACCTTCAACTATAGGCGACACGTACTCGTACTGTGCATGTATGATGATGATGAAACGGTTCACAAGGTGGAGCTGGACACAGTGACTGCATTGAAAGCAGTCTTTCTGACACTCACGGCGGCAACCAGAGACCGGTTGGTACGATCCCGGTTTTGTGACCATTATGACTATGAACCAGCGAGTAGTAAAATGGCATCTTTCCTACTCCTTCAAACCTTCTCCCTGATCACTGAAAAACCTTCATTCTTCATATCAACAATACAGCTACAGCCAGGAAGAGTTTCGGGCGCTGAGTCGAATGGTCTTGGTCTGAAGTCTCTACGACAAAGCGTTCTTGAGATATTTCAAGTCTTAGCCACGCTTCTCTACAATTGTTTCTTTTGTACCGGTGTATATTGTAGTACTTTTTGGATCTCGCGGCAAAAAAATCGAGGTAGCTTTGCAAATTATTTTGTGTGATCCCGTCGCGGGAACTTCGCTGATTAGTCATCTCCTAGACGACGAGTCCTCTCAAATGCAAACTGTACGACCTGTATTAACCCTCTCAGTGCCACGGGCGACTTTAGTCGCCCAAAATGAGTATGTGTGTACAAATAAATTCGTATCTCCACTTCTACACACACGAGAGTTACAAACGACCACTCTACGTGTTCAGGAAGACCTTGGCTATCGACTTATCACATCGTTTTGTGTCCGTGAGGATAGATATCGCCAGGGCGAAGCTTGAAGCGCGCGCGCTCGGACAAACAATTGTCGCCCGTAGAAAACATGACGTATGCGCATCGCGGGTTTCTCTATTTCTTTCGCCGCAACCCATGCGTATTGGGTATCAAAACATCGAGATTTTCAGCGGCTTTCAGGCCAACTTTGTCCGATTTCCGTGCGTTGAAAGTTGACTGCCCTGCGATCGATCGCGCGCGTGAGAAAGTGCAGATGCTACGAAAATGCAGAAAACGGACTTCGCTCAGGCGCCCTCGCGAGGAAGACTATTTTCGCTGCATATTCTCTTCACAGCTGTCTGCCTGGCCATGATATCTTTCCAGAGAGCCATCGTTTGTAAAGATCCGTGGATATACAGCTGAGCTATGAAAAATTTGAGTTCAGCTCAACTCAGAAAAATTTGAATTTTTCTGACCCCCTTGGCACTGAAAGGGTTAATGTACATGCAATGAATGGTAGTTTTTTTCATCTGTTGAGTCTGATCTTTTATTTTGCATGCATTGCATTTGCAGCTTGCTTTTCCGGATTTCCCAAAGACTTGGTGAGAGAACTTTTGAATAGCCGATGGTTTGACTCTGGAGTAGTGAGAAGGACGGGTAGACAGCATGGAGTTGGAAGTGCTTCATTTCTTCAAGCCGTGCTTGGATAACCCCTCTGTTTTGCAGAGTAAAGCGTCTGCCCTGCACGTGGCCGTAGAAAGTTGCAGTCCTGCACAGTACAATGGGTTCCTTTTGAAACGTGAGATTTGTTATAATGTTGGTGTCCGAAGTGCGCTGTCCTCGGAGGACTTGCAGCGTCTCGCGTGGCTACTGGAGTGTACGAATACCCAGTCAGCGCTCTCCGCTGGGTCTGCGTCTGAAATTCTTGTGGAAATCGGACCCAGACTAAATTTCTGCACGTCCTGGTCGACCAATGCTGTGTCGGTATGCAGGGCTGCTGGACTGCAGGCTGTGGAGCGAGTGGAGCAGTCAATCCGCACCCTCATTGCTGCCCAGGATGTCAATGGACAACCGGCTGCCTTCACAGGGGATGCGGAGAAGGAGTGTGTTGCACAACTCCACGACCGCATGACGGAATGCCGTTACGTAGCACCATTGACCTCTTTCCGTATCAATGTCCGTCCGAGTGAGGTGTACGACATTGAAATCATGGAGAGAGGTAGAGATGCCCTTGTGGAGGCAAACCAGAGCATGGGTCTCGCTTTGGACGCGTGGGATTTAGACTTCTACACAACAATGTTCCGCGACACTCTGAAGCGCAACCCTACCAGTGTGGAGTGTTTTGACTTGGCTCAATCTAACAGCGAGCATTCGCGCCACTGGTTCTTCAAGGGACGCATGGTGATCGACGGCAAAGAGCAGCCACAGTCGCTGCTCAAGATGGTCATGTCCACGCAGGATTCAGCAGCCTGTGATAACCAGGTGATTGCGTTTGCCGACGACAGCAGGTACGGAACAGTGCATGTCGCCACTGCCAGCTCCAATGGGGGCTCCTGTAATCCGTGATGTGGTATAGTCATGTAACCCTACGGATAGCAACTAGTTTTAGGTCCGATACATCCGCGATAGAGTTTGATAATGGGTATAGTTTAATTATAGGGAATATGAGATACATTGGAGCTACCCTTACTACGAGTTTGTGCGTGAAGTGTGTGGGTACAGTGAGGGTTGTGTCTGTGTAGTTTCGTTGTCTGAAGAAAATTTTGAACAGTCTGCTTGGTTGACGGTACACCATAGCTTAGCGGTAGAGCACCGCTGGTCTATAACGAAGGTCCCTGGTTCAAGTCCTGGTCATACTTTTCGCGTTTCATTCCCTCAAACTGATGAATATTTAGGGAATAGGCGCATCGGCGGATTTTCCTGTGCGCTTTTTCTGTAATGGTTATCTTGGTCAAGAAAATTGTTTGCACTTTGACTGTGGAGAATATAGGCTTAGTGGGCTCTACGGTACCAGTGTTGTGTTCCTTTCCCTAGCTAGTAGCTGTATGCTTCATTGGTTGATATAATGGGTGTGCGTGTGTGTGTCTGTGTCTGTGTGTGTTGTCTGCATGCATGCATGCTCAGTGCTATCAAGGGTGGTACTTACCGCGCACTGTGTTCCTCCGACCCGACGCGGCCAAGCCAAGTGAAAGCAGTGGACATTGACCAGCACATCACGTTCACAGCCGAGACTCACAATTTCCCCACGGGTAGGTTACCGCCAGCCATGTGTACTGGCTGTGAAGGAAATGCCTTCCCATGTAGGGGGGGGGGGGGGGGGCTTTTTATTTAATTTATTTATTTATATTAAAAACGCAGTGCATATTCCTGATCTCTGATGTCACCTCGGTAACTTGTGCTGTACAGTTAGTTACATTATTTTTTTGCTGTTGTTTGCTGTCCAGGTGTTGCACCATTTTCTGGAGCTACAACAGGAACTGGAGGTCGTATTCGTGACATGCATGCCGTGGGCCGCGGCGGGCACTGTATTGCCGGCACGGCTGGGTACTGCTTTGGCAACCTGTCTATTCCCGGTACGCTGGTGCTGCTGCTGCTGTGTTGCTATATCTACTATTTAGCACATCACACAATGCTAAAGGGCATATTGGAGACCATCCTTGTAGTGCTCAATCTCGTTGTGGCTGCTAGGAGCACATTCTATGCCTCTATGCCGCCTGGCTTTCCCGGCGAGAAATCGGTATCAGCAGCTACTACACCTAGCTGATGATGCTCACAAGACAGAAGCGGAAAAAACACTGAATTTCTTTATTTAGTGCTCTACTACGCGAAATGTGCTATTATTATTATTATTATTATGCCGCCTGGCTGAGTGGTGTTTGTTGCAGTGCAGTGCTTGTCTGAAGAGGTGTTGTTGCACTATGACATGGATACAGTGAACGGGTGTCTGATCTACCCACCTTCCCATCACTTTAGGAGCTATGTCTGCACTTTGGTCCTTGTGAGTGGGGTGTTGTGCAGATGTGGAAAAATCAGCCTGACCAACTCTGACGCTCGTCATAAAATATTTTGTTTTAGGCTATAATAGCACATAACAAACTGTGCTAATGGCACATTGGACACTATTCCTGGTGTGCTCAATCTCGTACCAGTTGCTTGGAGCACAGTGAATGATGTCCAAAAAAACAGCCACCTTCACTTCCTTTCCCCAGGAGACTCCCTTTGATAGGCATCCATTTGCCTCTGGAGAATCCTTGAAAATATAATATCAAAATGATCACGTCATGCCTTCTTTCTTCATGAAGTGTGGCATCGTCCTGTCCTAACGTTGAACAGCGCTTTGTCAACCCCATGTCTTCAGGTTATGAACTTCCGTGGGAGAACTCTGATGCCAAGTATCCCAGCAACTTTGCTCCGCCACTGGAGGTTGCCGTCGAAGCCAGCAACGGTGCTTCCGACTACGGCAACAAGTTTGGCGAGCCCGTGATCTGCGGCTTTGCCCGCTCGTTTGGCTGTAAGCTAAGCAACGGCGAGCGTCGCGAGTGGGTGAAGCCCATCATGTTCAGCGGCGGTATCGGATCCATGTGTGCCAGTCATACCAAGAAAGCTCACCCGGAAGTGGGCATGCTGGTGAGTGATGTAGCCACTCTGTTAGATATGAGTGCCTTCTCAGAATACGGATGTCTTGACCGAGCCAACATGAATTCTGCCTGGTGCAATTGTAACAAGAAAACGTTCTTTATAATAAGAGTCAAGAAGCTGTTCCAATGATGATGTGTGTATGCGTGTGTGTGTGTGCGTGTGTGTGTGTGTGTGTGTGTGTGTGTGTGTGTGTGTGTGCTCGTGACTGTATGTGGTGAACCTGCAGGTGGCCAAGATCGGTGGCCCAGTTTATCGCATCGGTGTCGGCGGCGGTGCTGCGTCATCAGTTGAGGTGCAGGGCACGCAAGCTAGCGACCTCGACTTTGGTGCCGTGCAGCGTGGCGACGCTGAAATGGAGCAGAAGCTGCAGAGAGCCATCCGTGGCTGCATTGAGCTGGGCGAGAACAACCCGATATGCAGCATCCATGACCAGGGAGCTGGAGGAAATGGTACGACTTGCAATACTTGCAATATGATTGTAATTTGTTTGTTCCTTGACTGCTGCATATTGGTATGGTCAGTGCAGCTGATAAACTGATGTGCGAACATCACAATGAATCCACGGGTGCCTTCTCTTTGAGGGGGCAGTCAGTTTTTCTTTTGTTTCTTGACATGGTGTTGTTGTGATGTTGTTGTGATGTAGGCAACGTGCTGAAGGAGATCGTCGAGCCATTGGGCGCGGTGATCAGAGCGGAGAACTTTGAGCTGGGAGATCCGACAATCTCCATGATGGAGCTGTGGGGAGCCGAGTACCAGGAGAGTGACGCTCTGTTGGTGCAGCCACAGCATCGCGAGGTCCTGGAGAAGATCTGTGCGCGTGAGAAGGTGCGTTGATGAAACTACATGTCTTGGAGGCACTCTCAGAACTGACACTTTGTATGCGTCTTGATTTGCACCCTTGGAGTTGTGCATAGATGCTAACTTTAGTCTTGTTTGTCTAGTCTTGGTTGGGGGGGGGGGTGCACCTGCTGCGTTGATACGAAGAGCATGGCTTGCAGATTGTAAGTGGTGTTCTTAATAACGTCGCAACTTCTATTCCTCTGTGTCTGTGTTTGTTTGTGTGTGCGTGCGCCGTGTGCCTGTATGGTTGCTTTTGTGAATATCTGCATATAGGTGTCCGTATCCTTTGTTGGTGAAGTGACGGGCAATGGTCGTATCGAGTTGGTGCATACCACAGATGCCGCTGAAGATGGTGCCAAGCGAAAGACCACATCACCCGTCGACCTCCCACTCGACGTTGTCTTGGGTGATGTGCCGCGCAAGGTACGAGCCATTTGGTGATCTGTTGTATAGTGCTGGCCAGCTGTGACTTATCACTGGCATTGTCTGATTGTTCTGTGCAGACGTTCACCTCTGATCGTTGCACGCAACACTTTGAGCCCTTCCATCTTCCAGCAGGTGTCTCGCTCGCAGATGCGCTTGATCGAGTTTTGCGTCTGCCATCGGTTGCCAGCAAGCGTTATCTTACCAACAAGGTGAGTCTTCTCAGTGTGAAGTTGTTTTGTGCATTTTTTGTCTGCTTAGGGCGCGTTCAGACTGGCGTAAAAAACAAGCGGAATGTGAAAGTTGTCAAGGTGAATCGCTCACGTGACGTTCCCGCCAGCGTAAACACGGAAAAGGTTTCCCACCACTCTGCAGGCCAGTGGAATGCAGATTCCGGCGGCACGCGGAGCGCTTTTGATATCCTTGCAGCACATGTTCCGTCTTTTCGTTTTATTTCAGCCTCTACTCTTGCAGTCTGACTGCATGCTTTTGAGTTTTGAGTTTTGACTTCTAGACTGCCAACTTCTCCCATCATGCCGAAATCTTTGTTCGACTCAGCAATGGAGAGGGAGTTCATGGAGCCGCGTGTACGTGGTGATTTTTGCGGGCCGCTCTGCAGGCAAAACGCTTGCTGCGAACGAGAAGCTCTGATCGCGGAGCGGATGAATGCCACCCAAGCACCAAACACTCCGGACATAGTATTCTTTCCGTCGACAAGTACAATGATCCAGTATCTCAACAGACTGAATTAGTTTATTTTGATATCCAACTCAAACTGAGTCAACTCAAATTTTTCAAATGTCTAAGCTTCACATGTACATGTACTGGCCATTCCAGCGGGATACACGTGCAGTGTGATTGCGATTCCCGGGATTACGCTGCAGCTTTCCGGCGGCTATTCACGCCAGTCTGAACGCGCCCTTACTTCGAACTCCATCCCCTTACTCATTAGCGTTCTTGATCCGGATCATCCCTTCACAACTTCTTGCACACATGTACTGCCATGGACATTGAAATCCGATGGGATGACCGGGGCCGGCGCCCTAACTGCTTTTAGCGCGTAGCTTCATGCACTGTAGTTCACGTGCACTGTAAGAAATGAACCAGCAGTGCTCACAGCTGCAAGGCCAGCGCCCTGTGGCCGCTTGACTTTTCAACGGATTTCAATGTCTGCGACAGTACATGTAGTTGTTTTGTGGCTTTTCACCGTGTGCGTCTTATCTGTCTTGGCGGTGGATTGTGTCTAGTGATTTTGTGTGCCGTATCCACATGTTTTCTTATTTGCTCTATCCGTGCTTTTGTCCTTTGTGGACTCATCGGTGCAGCACAGAGAAACTAGGCCGAATCTGATAGGCTGATAGCAGTGAAATAAATCTTGTTTGTACATGTGTGTGTGTGTGTGTGTGTGTGTGTGTGTGTGTGTGTGTGTGTGTTCGTGTGTGTCCCATATGGTGCAGTGGTATGTGCAGTCGATTTCCAATCGAGAGGTTGCGGGTTCAATTCCCGACGATTATGGTCGCATACGTCTTTCTTCTCTTTCTCGGACTCTTCCTGACTTTTCTTTCATTCTCCTGGGTGGTTACCAACAGCCAGTGTATGCCGGAGTATGTGGTGTGGTGTGTGTGTAGAAAAAAAAATGAAAAATGAAAAATAGGGATTCACTGGCCAGAAAAAGTCACTTCAAACAGCTGTGTGGTGGATACCAGGCTAAAAATAGTGGCGGTCAATTCACCAGCCTTGCAAGCTGTTGAATGGTGTAATCCCAGCACAAGTTGCTATGTCTAACATAGCTGTTCGTTATCATCGCTTCCGCGATGGGCATGTCTGAGGTCTGTCTGAGGTGTGTGTGTTCATCAGCCTTGCAAGCTGTTGAATGGTGTAATCCCAGCACAAGTTGCTATGTCTAACGTAGCTATTCGCTATCATCGCTTCCGCGATGGGCAGGTCTGAGGTGTGTGTTGCTGTTGCTGTCAATGCTGATGTTGATGTTGGTGTGGTTTGTGTATATTTCAGGTTGACCGCAGTGTAACAGGTCTTATTGCACAGCAGCAGTGCGTGGGCCCGTTGCACACGCCACTCGCCGATGTAGCCGTCGTGGCCCTGTCTCACTTCTCCAGCCAGGGAGCAGCCACGGCTGTGGGTGAGCAGCCGGTCAAGATGATCGTCAACCCGGCGGCCGGTGCACGCATGGCCGTCGCGGAGGCGCTCACCAACCTAATGTTTGCAAAGGTAGGTCGTAATGTGCACAGTCTTGCACTCGGCTTGTTAGTCCCTCTTCTATTCTCTTCACGTATTGAGAATACCGTATTTTCCTGAGTATGAACCCCACTTTGAGCACTCAAAATTTCACCGAGTGCAACGGTAGTTAGCAGCATGCTACCATGGATGGCTGAGATTGAGTGGATGCGTTGTGTCTGCTGCCGTGTGTGTGTGTGCATGTGTGTGTGTGTGTGCGTAGGTGAATCTCGCCGAGGTGAAGTGCAGTGCCAACTGGATGTGGCCGGCCAAGCTGCCCGGTGAGGGTGCCGCCATGTATGACGCTTGTCGCGCCATGTCCGAGGTCATGTGCATGCTCGGTGTGGCCGTGGACGGAGGAAAGGACTCGCTGAGCATGGCTGCTCGCGTACCCGGCGAGGGGGTTGTCAAGGCTCCCGGCGACCTGGTCGTGTCAACTTACGTGTCCTGTGCCGACGTCAACGCCACCATCACGCCCGACCTGAAGGCCACGGCGGCCGAGTCCACTGTGCTGCTCTGGGTGCACTGCGGTGTGGACTCTGTCCGCCTCGGCGGTAGTGCACTTGCTCAGGTACGGGCGATACGCTGTTCCTTTCATCCTACCCTTTGGTGTGTGCTTGAATGATAATTGTGTGCATGGGAACGTGTTGTATTCGCAGAAGCTTAGGCCGTGTGTAGGGGAGGGGGCTGAAAGTAAAATGAATGGTATCAGCTGAGAATTGAACTTTGCTTTCTTAGACTTTATTCGAAATGCCTTGAGCATCATAGATAGATCTCTGGACTGGACCGTTGGTGTATGTATGCATTCTACAGTCATATCTCGCTTAGCCACACACATCCATTTTCAAAAACGAAATATCTGGATAGTCGAGGAACCCGGATAACCGAACACGCATACTTTGTATGCATGTGGCACATCAAGAGGCGTGGAACCGTGCGTACATGTATATTGGTCCCATGCAGTACAGCTAGCGTGCGCACTCCGTATCACGAGCGAGACAAATGACGAGTGCATGCAACTGAATGCTGTGCGCATGCAGCGTAAGTGCCTGTTGGCTAGCGTGGCATTGACCTGAACGCATTGCATGCTGCTCTGTTTTGTTGCTGCCTTCGTGTCCAGGTGTACGGCTCCGTCGGCAGTGAATGTCCAGATGTGGATGACGTGGACAGTGTGAAGACCTTGTTCAACCTGGTCCAGAGCCAGCGCTCTCTGATCTTAGCCGGCCACGATGTCAGCGACGGAGGTGTCCTTGTCACCATCTTGGAGATGGCATTCGCAGGCAATGCTGGTGTTGAAATCAGCGTGTCCGTGCCCAGCTCAGTTGCCAATCCAACCGAGTACTTGTTCACGGAGGAGATCGGTGCTGTTTTGCAAGTGCGTGAGTCCGATGTGGCAGCAATCTCCTCTGCGTCGGGCGCATTGAAAGTCGAGCAGATTGGCTTTGTCGACGCCAACTCGTCCAAGGTGTCTGTGGAGATTGGCGGTCAAGTGTTGCTGGATGCGTCTCTCCATGACCTCCGTGACACATGGGAGGCCACTAGCTTTGCACTGGAGCGCCGCCAGTGCAACCCTGCATGCGTAGAGGAGGAGCAGGCCACGCTACGCACTCGTCACGTGCCCCAGTGGAATATCTGGCCGGTCAACGCTCCGCTTCCGTTGGCTGTGGATAGTGTTGCACCGCGTGTGGGTATCATTCGTGAAGAAGGCAGCAACGGTGATCGCGAGATGGCTGCCGCCTTCATGAAGGCTGGTTTCGAAGTGCACGACATCAACTCAAACGATCTCTGCTGTGGATCAATTACGTTGGAGAGCTTCAATGGTTTGGCGTTTGTCGGTGGATTCAGCTACGCTGATGTCCTGGGCTCAGCGCGAGGATGGGCGGCCACTCTTCGCTACAACTCTCAAGCCAGCTCTCAACTGGCTGCGTTCCGTGCTCGCTCCGATACGTTCAGTCTTGGTGTTTGCAATGGCTGTCAGCTGCTCGCCCTCTTGGGCTGGGTTGGTGGTGCGGCCGCAGAACATGCCACGAATGGCACCACTGCTGAGCGCTCCAGTACGTTCAAGTTCACGCACAACACGTCAGGCCGGTACGAGTCACGGTTTGTCAATGTTCGTGTCTTGCCCAGCCCAGCCATCATGCTGCGCGGTATGGAGGGCCATAGCGCCGGTGTGTGGGTAGCACATGGCGAGGGACGCTTGGAATGCGATCAGCCGTCCCTGGAGCACGTTGTCGCGCAGAACCTGGCACCGCTTCGCTTCGTCAACGACGCAAACAACGACACACAGGTCTACCCTCTCAATCCGAACGGCTCGCCATTCGGCATCACCAGCTTGTGCTCCCCGGACGGGCGCCATCTTGCTATGATGCCTCATCCAGAGCGTACAATCAACAAGTGGAGCTGGCCATTCGCGCCATCCAGCCCTGACGGCCACTTGGCATGGCAGCAGATGTTCAACAATGCATTCAGCTGGTGTACTGCAGACTCCTCTTAGAGACTTAGACCACACCGTTGTTTCTTTGTTTCGCGTCCCCCGCGCTCGTGTATTTCACAGCCGGAGTTCAACAAAAATGAACATGGCTGTACTAGCTCACGTACCTGCAGTGGCTGTACGATGTGTGGGTAAGCTGGGCCACAAGTCACGCAAGCACAGGGTGAGCAGAGGCGTGACCAGAAACTCCGGCTGTACACAAATACTATTACAGTACTGTATTCCTATATATCTGCTTTTATCTACTCTATCAGGCGTACGTTACACCTCTAGTCTTGGGTCTATGTTCCTTCTTTGAAAGAGGTTGAATGGGAGGTAGCAACTTATTACAAAAGATTGAGTATTGGTACATGCATCTGTTTTTTGTCCCGCCTGGGACTCATCACAAGTCAGTACTTTTGAAGTAACAAAGCATTGTGAGCAGCCTAGCCGCCGAATCCAATGGTGAGCGTCTCGACTCGCGAGCATTGGTGCAGTGTGAGTGAGGACAGAGGTATCTGGTGTATCAAGAGTTGGCTTACTCTACTGCTCCACACTAAGATTATAGAAGGACTGTGTCTGATGGCGAAAAAAGTACTCCACAATTGTAGTACATTGACTGTATTTCCGAATCAGAAGCTACTGTATGTACCTAGTTCAACAAGTGAAAGTGAACAATAGGCAGATTTATAGCTGATTTCAAGCCGAGTCTCAGCAGTCATTGTTGATAATGATTGCACTCTTGGTGCTCTCACTACTGGCCAGGACATGGCATCATGCAAGCCCTTCTCCCGGTCACCACTCACCAGAGCACTTGTATTGTGTAGGATGTGGCATGTGTACGGCAAGCTTGTACTGCACGTACTGGTACACTCTAACCGTATGCATGATACCAAGAGTACATAATGTACTCAGTCTCTTGATGATACACAATCATGTACAAGTACATTGTAGTCAAGAGTACATAGACCGTTGCGTAGATCTACTCTTGATGCTTCACAGACAAGTTTGACAGACTCTCCTGTAGAATGAGGTGTTATGAAACTTATCGTTCAAGAATCAAGTGTTGTACTTTCTGCCATGCATGTCGGCAAGAGTACATAGCCGGGGGGGGTGTTAAACTCTTGATGTCGGGTATTTGCCCTGTGTAAGCCCTGTATAGCTGGAAACTAATTACTTGAGCCAAATCCTACAACAGACATAATCGGACATGTTTCATGGGATGAAAATCAATATACATTATGAATACCTCGGAGCAAGCAGATGACAGGCTAGCTGTTACCAAGAGTACATAACCCCCCAGAGTGTGCAACGCCTGATCCAGCTCTGCATAGGATGATAGGGTCTTGGTCGAGCGGAATCGGATCTTTGCATCATAATACCGTACACATCTGAGGGGAACCCGGGGAGTCGCGGGTACTCTCGGATCAAAAACAATGGTGCCCTGCCTCGAGACCGGCCTTAAGCTGGTGTGGAGTGTACGCATGACATCAGAAGATCCGATTCCGCTCGACCAAGACCCTATGCAGAGCTGGATCAGCGTTGCACACTCTGGGGGGTTATGTACTCTTGCTGTTACTGAGCATACCCACCCCTTGATTGAAGGCTGCGTTTACACGACAACGCTGGGAGCGAAACGCAACAAAATTCTTTAAAAAAATAGTTTCAGGTACTACAGACATGCAGGGCTGGGCCGCCTTCATACCAGTCTCCACGCCGCGTACTAACAAAATGCCATTTCCAGACTGAAAAAAGGGGGACGTTTGCTCTCCTCCTTTCCACACGCCGCGTTGCATTCGTCAACGTGGAGTTGTACGTACCTGTAGTGTGAAGCCAGCCTTGATGTTAGGGAACAACAGCATGGACGAAATATGCACACAAACACCTCACGTGCTGTTTTGATACATGTACAAGTACAAGTTTCTTTTTGAAGCTATAAATAAGCTGCTCTTCATCTTAATTTGTAGGAAAGTAGTAGGAAAGTAGGAAAGAAAGTTCTCAAAATAGAAAAAGTCAATAAAAAAGTAGCACCGATCTAGTCATATACCTGCATACTGAACACTCGGCATGATCTGTGTACTGGCTAGTAGCTACTAGCTAGGGTACATGTAGATCTACTGGTTAAGAACATTCCACGTGCCCACAGGCTCTGCACCTTGCCTCCTGCGGCATGCAGGCAGGCACGCAGAAGTTGAACGGGAAGAAGAAGAAGCAGAAACACCAGGCGGCGAGCGTCCATGAAGGCGCCCCTGTTTAGTAAACAACACACGCACGCATGCACGCACCATGGTATTGCAAAGCTGTTCCAACTGCTTATAGGCGATTCAGACTATGGCCAACTGTGACCACGTTTCTACGACTCAGACATATTTGATCAGGGATTGTGCATAACATTTTGAAACACGGCTGCATCACCATGGAATTCAAGTTTACACGTGATTTTGGCCGTAGTGGTCTGAATCGCCTATAAGGTAACCAACTCCACACAGCATAAGATTCCAGTCTTTTTTTTCCCCCAGGTAACTCCTGTTAGCATGCTGCAGCAGCATGCATGCATGGTTGAAGAGCACAGAGTGGATGCTGTTTTTCAGCAAGCACAATCACATGCCGGCTAACACACCACCAACCATTAGTCTACAATGCAATCATGTGCTATAGTATTTCTGATACGTGGACGGAGGTGGGTACATGCTCTAATTTTTGGAAATACACGTATAAACACTGTACAACACAAGCCCATCATACTGATCTTACCCATTGGGCCACCACAGCTTGGGCATCCACCGCGTGTGATGAGGGTGGTTGTTGATGTGATGTTGGTAGTGGTTGGAGGTGGACCTGCTGCGGCTGCGCTGGCCACACTTGGCGCAGCATTGTAGCTAGGTGGATCGGCTGACGCCGACACCTGTAGCGATATATGAACCAGAAACCAGATTTCAAGTCATTAATTCTCTGATTACATAATCTTTATTATTATTATGCCAGTGTTGATTTCAGCTCTATTCTACGGTCTGGCTGCCGGCGCATGATTATGGTGCATTCAATGGCCCGGCAAATCAGCATGGGTTTGGATCATATTATTTTCAATAAAGAGTAAAATAAGCTATCTCTGGTTACCCTTGCCTATGGGGCCCGCCAAAGGCGAAAACAAACATCAGGTGGTGGAATGCTCACGTACGTTCTATATTCCCAGCCTGTTAGATGCAAGCAGTGGATTACCAGTATTAAATTTTTTATTCTTTATCATAATGCACATACATGTACCGTAAAGTACCGTTGATCCGCCCCCCACGCCATGTCGCTTCCCAGCTGGGTTTTCGGCAGGGGGCGGGAATTAGATCAAGGCTGTCAAGTGCAGTACGATGATGTACAACAACGTAGAAGTTCAGACTCGATGTGCTGGATTGTGCACATTTTCATCCTGGATTGGCAAGTATTGTGTACAGCAGTGCATGCGTCGGTTCAACATCGTATTTTCGTTGTATACGCCGAAGTCGCTTCACAGGTAGAAAATCGACAGGGGCGGGAATTAAGGGGGCGGATCAACGGTACTTTACGGTACTCCAGAGAAGAAGAAAAAAACATAATGTTCTCTGGCCCTGTGCAGGGAACTTCCCTTCACAGGTACTTCAAGTGTTCAGAGGGCTAGAACTTTTTGCCGTGGGTAATAAATTAAGGCTCATTTCCGCAACAGGTTCACCTCCATTATTAGCAGTACAGTACTAATTATTAGGTGCGATGCTGCTACCTAGATGCTGCTGAGCAGGACTTTAGTGGCCACGGAAAAGCTATGGTTGTTGGCTTCGCTGTTTGCTCAACTGTTTTGAGGTAGCTCGAAGTACTTTGGAGATGATCTGTGATGGCACCTACCTGCAGATTGGTCTTGCACGCACCACAGCTGATGACACCAGTGTGTCCCGGAGGAACAGACAAGACAGTGCTGCAATTGCCGCAACGAATATGTACCTGCAGCAAAATCAACACACACACGCAACCACATACATGTACAGTGGAGATTGGATATAACGACCTTGGGTATAACGACAAATCGAGTTTAGCGACAACATTATGTCGCCCAAGTCGTTTAGCAAGTCCTTTCTGTACATTATAGATCGGGTATAACGACCTCGAAAATAACGACAGATCGAATTTACCTACACTTTTTTGGTGCCCGAAGACCTGAAAAGTGAAAACGCATTGAATATAACGACTTTCCTCTTGTATCGGGCGGATTGGCATGCATGGGACATATCTGTGTCACATGCCCGGACCTCTGGGTCACTCCACGCATGCTGGTAGCCGCAGTGCAGCGTGCGGTGTAGTTGCTATGCATGACTTTTGGCTTGAACTATGCATGCAAGACACTTGCACATGCGCATCTAAAATCCATATGCATTATAATTATTATGCACATGCATATCTGCAAGACATTTCTGTCATTTTGATATACAGGTACATATTGCATACTAAATGTGAAGATCGGGTTTAGTGACAGATCGAGTATAGCGACATTTTGTTCTCTCCCGAAGGAGTGCCGTTATATCCAATCTCCACTGTACATGTGCAGAGCATCACAATCATCATCATAACATGACTTGTACTAAAGCACAGGCCGTAGCAGAATAGCGTCCACAGTCCGCGCAGGAAATGATGAGACTGTTTGAATCTGCGATAAATTGGAGCCAGTTCAGTATTAAATTTTGTTGTTCCTCAGAGTTTCAGCAAGAGTCCATAAACAAGAGTATGCAACTGTGATCTCTTTTCTATGGGCCAGATGCGCGGCGCGCTGCCTTCATTACATCATTCAGCTGCAGTCCGCGCACTGCGGAAAATCAAACACCGCACTTTCTCTCTGGTTTGAAATGAACTTTCGTACGGAACTGGAGTTCACGCGCCCGAATTCAGAGATCGCGTAGGTACTGGAACGAATCGAGCAAAAACGAATGGGCTCGTACGAGAAATTGTGAGTTTGAATGCATGATTTCAGAGCGTGATGAAGGCAAGTTACGTAATGAAGGCAGCGTGCCGCGCACTGGGCCATAACCACAGTTGCATACTCTTGTTTATGCACTCTTGGTTTCAGGCAAAAAATGATCATCAGACAAAGAACCAAAACAAATAACTTGCTCCACTTCGTCCAAAGTGTGCGACTGTGTGAGCAGCTATAGTGTGTATGTACTAAGTTAGTTATATCAGTTTTCAACCGCAATTGGGGAGCAGTATCATTTTGTGCAAGCAGTCAACCCAACGAATAACAACCTCAAAACCACTTGACTGAGGAGAGGGGAGGGGGGGGGGGGGAGGGGCAACATATCTACAACCTTTTCCACATCCTACTCCAAGCAGTGGTGGCGGTGGTCTCTTGCGATCAATCTGACTTATAATCCCTGCACTTGTTCACTCTATCGTGATCAAGCAAGCGTGTGGGGTGTAACCAGACAGACGCCCAACTTAACAAGCCGCCTAGATGATAGTACTTTGCTTCGTAACAGCATGATTCAAAAATCAGATCAATCTACATGAACCCAGACATCATCTAGTGGGACAATAGTACTGAAACGTTGTGCCGGAACCATGACGACGTTTTACTCCTGCACACTGTCTATTGATCCGGCCTGGAGCATGGCTTTTGCCAGTGGACTCCAAGCTGTGCTGGCTGATCACCGGACTGGACCTTGGCTGCTGGCATGCTCTTACAAGAAGCTTGTCTCCGCACAAGACGGCTCCAGCATTTAAGCACCCCCCCCCCCCCCCCCCCCTCTCCAACCTCATCCTCATGAATACAGCAGCGCCGCGTGCAAGTGCACAGAACAGTGCTTGTAGTTGTAGTGCCAGGGCTGCATAGGGCCCCTGCGCTATTTTATTCATGAGGTTGGATTTCTCTGGCCAGTACTACTGCAACGTTGCATGTAGATCTACATGACTGAGAATACACTTTTGCAAGACTGACAGTTGGTTAGGAATGTTACTGAATGCGATGAAATGAAACCCCAAACCAGCAGCATTCAAGTATGTACGAGTGCAGGACACCAGAGGAAAACACACTCTGCCCTTATTTCTGACCACCCAAAAGAAGTCCAATACTAGTATAATGTGTACAATGCACCACGTGGCGCTGCCCCCCGCCGAACACTCACGGAAGACATGGTGCCGATGTTGGACGAAGAAGACTTCACGATTCTGCTGAACGAAAGTGCGCCTGTTGACAGCTGCTGTGCCGGGGCAAACACAACCTGCGCTCAACGACAACTACAATGTTCGAACAGGAAGGCAAAGTTGCTTTCGAAGACGGATCAAAGCAAGCAGTGAGCTGAGCTGATGAGTTTGCACACAGCAACATTTCTTGGTCGTGGATACATACCGTATATGGAGTCATGGATCATGTAATATAATGGAGTTGTCCGCAAAACAGGCATTCACGTAATGATCCACGGCCAGCTGGCTGGCGCATCTCATGCTAGCCTTGTCTGCGTTTGAGTGCTAGCTGCAATGGGGCTGTTAAGTGATGACGTCACAGTTCCTTCGATACGCATAGCAACGATCCCACTGGGGACAAACAAAAGTAGCGTCGTCTCCACCGAACCAGTTGTCATAGGCAACATATAGGAATCGTGTACATTTCTTCGTTTCTTCTTTGCTGTTTTCAGTGAGTGTTTTGTTTTCTCTTTGTCCTTGATCTCGACGGTGTTGTCGTGCTCATTACCTTACTGAGACGTCTCTTGTGACTGTAGCCAGTGTCACGGAGGATTTTATTGGCGTGACGAGGTAGATCGCCGAGATCGAGCGTGAAAAACGCTCTGCATTAGTAGCTCTTGTATAATGTCTTCTGGGATGGCGTATCCATGGTCAACAAAGCCAAGGTGCAAGACAGCATAAGAGATCGTGTAAACGATGTGAACTCCAAAAGGTAAGCTCCTGAACAAGTGGAAAGATATGTGTATTTACAAACTCTCTCTTCATCCATCGATTGCCACTATGCATTGCATTTTGTCTGCACAGATAATCTGGACAAATAAATTATATTGTAACTGGAGAGTGCAATCGTGCTTGGGACCCATCCCAATGTCATCACATGGCTGTGGTAACTAGTGTATACCTGTACCTGGGAGAGTTTTTCCTCAACTGAGACGGAGTGTAGGTGGATGGATTATGAGAAATGCGAAGATGTGGAGTAAGTTGTGTCGAAGAAATGTGTAATAAAATAAAATTTACTTTACACTCAAACATACACTGTACATGTACATGTAACATCATGATACTGATGATTCCATCTTCATATCTCCGCAACAGGTACGCCATACGCACCAAATACATGGTGTGTGTGTGCACGCGCGCGCTTGCGTGCGCGCGTACATGCACACACTCTCATGCGTGGCCGAGTTGGCCGGATGAACAGACCACGCATTTGCACGACGTGTTCGTTATGTCATTGGAGTACTGTACTTTATGACTTTATTCCGAAATAGTATGTCTTGCCCCTGTCAAATGGAGTTTGTGTCTATGCTCAGCGGGTATCGGGCCACGACGCCACACTGCAGTCAGCGCTTGAATTAAAATAGCACTTCATGGATTATTTTAACTAATTTCCTTTGCGTTTACATGTACTTTGTTGAGCCCGTGGTTTCATTTCTGTGTTCTGTTATGATTGGCCTCTGGAAATAATCAGAGTGGATGTCATTTTTTGTCATATGTGTGTGCCTTGTGCAACAGGTTCAAGGCTAGATGCACTTCACATTCAGCGTGCGATCTCGGCGTCTGGGACCTGATAACGTCTTGGTTGGATGGGTAATCAAGGATGATACTACTCGGCACACCAATGTACATGTCAATGTAATTTTTTACTTTTTCAGAGCTGCACCATTTACAGACGAATGTGTCTGTTAGAGAGGAAATAAATCGTATTCACAAACAAGTCCCACTTATTGTTTCTGTTCGTAAAAGGAAATTGCAATTTTTTGGTCATATTGTTCGTTCCGGCTGTTTGTCATTGACTGTTCTTCAGGGTTGTGTTGCTGGAGGTCGTTGCCGAGGCAGGCCCAGAATGTCATGGCTTGATAATATTATTTCATGGACTGCACTTGACGTGCAGTCCCTGCTCGCTGCTGCACGCGATCGGTTTTTATGGCGCTCACTTGTTCATACTTGCTCTGTGACGCCCCGACGGCCTTAGGGCTATGGGCTTGTGATGATGACTATTTACGTCTTGATGCTTACTTCGGTGCTAGCGTGTTTCCCCCGGATTATTTCTATCATCATGCGTGTTCTTGGGCTGAGCGAGCACATGCACGAGTGTGCAGCTATAACCCCATGTATCTTTGGTTACACTTTGTTCTGCAATGCATGTACCTTGTAACAGTATGTGCTTGCACTGCTTTGTGTGGCCTGCCTATTTCAGGACTATTCAGTGCATTAGACCCAGGTTGGTTTGGTTGCCGGATGATCTCTTGTTGCGTCGCTCTGTGTTTTGTATTCATCAATTTTTGGGCTTGAGAATTGAGCTGGTGTGTGGTTCCCAATATGAAAACATCATGCTGGTGCTCTGTGTTTTGATTATCGACTGTCCGAGCAGTCGCGATTCATTACCAGAACGGTCAACACTGTAGTCTCTTGACGTGTTGGTCTTTTTGTGTTTTCGCCGGGGGAATTAGCGGTGACGTTGCACATAGAACGGCAGTGTTGCATCACTGGACGACCCTGCCTCTGCCTTCATGTCCCCAGGATCTGGTGCAGATACACCAGACAGTCACTTCCTGTAAACACGCAAACAGCAAAAGAAGAGATCCCGCAAATCAGGAAAAACCATTGTGGAAAATATCGAGTAGATCATACACCATTCAATAATCTGGAGTAATTACAGTGAGACAAACACTTCACTGCTCTCTCTCTCTCTCTCTCCATCCTTCCAAAATACCCTGTAACAATTTCCTAGAATTATTTTATTTTAATATATTCTCAGGACATCATTCTGAACATAATAACTTCTTCCATGGGTCTTCAATCACCACGGAGGGCGAGAATATATCTAAGTCATGCACTTTACGGGAGGTGCGAGCTGTCATGTATATAGAGGCTGATATTATTGTGCCAGCGTGAGGGCAGAGACAGAAAGAAGACACTGATTTCTTGAACAACTCACCTACATATAATCGAATCCACAGGGAGCGCTCGTACTTTGATCCATCAGGACGCGAAGAATCTTCAAAGCACTCTCAAACACGGAGTTTTACAGTGGGCAGCCAATTTCACAGCCATTATGAAGGCCCTCGACGACTACAGGAGATTTGTAGAAGAAAGAACAAGGAGTAAAGAGCGACAACAATCGCTTGAAGAAAAAGCAAAGAAAAACTGCTCTCTCTCCAGTCATTTAGATGCTGTTGCCTTTGACAACTGGTTCCATCCAGAGGACGCGACTTTTGTTTGTCCCCAGTGCTCTCCGTTGCTATGCGTATCGAAGGGGCCGTGACGTCACACTTAACAGCCCCATTCATGCAACATCAAACCATTCAAGGCACTTGTTTTTTGTATTGCACGCCGTTTGCGGGTGCAGGTTTGTACCGTCGTACGACTCACGTGGGAACACGTGTGCGCTAGGGTCAGACCAAATTTGCTAGCTTCGAGCAAAAATATCGGTTCGTAGAGATCTACGTAGGTCTACGAGTACATTTTGGTATTCAATAATTATAATAATGAATTGGCATGTTCTGCAGATAATTTGTAGTCATGCTTGGTGGAACAAGAGTTACAGCATGTACATAACCATAGTTATGTGTGGTCATGTACAGGTCCTCTTGCAGTCTTGGCACCAGTATTATGCTAAAGCCAGTAAAGGCTGGAGTAATATGAACAAGCGAGTACACACACCGGTACGGTACATACAATGATTTTTAAATCTTGCATACTCTTTCCAGACATAGATCGAGGAGTTGGGAATGATGCGAGTCAGTGGAGTCATGTAGCAAAATGCATACACGGTACTTTACGCCCCCCCCCCCCCCCCCCGGGCCATGGGATACAGTGTGTGCCCAAACTCGTATGCAACCAGTCGGGGTGCATGCAACGGGGAAGAACTTTGCACCGAGCTCATGGCCATGTCGGGGATGAGCTCCATGCTTCCACTCGAAGGAGCCCGAACACCAGCGCAGATCACATATCCACCAGTGCTAGCCAGCTACACTACAAGCTGGAATTCAGATTGATTACAAAAAAATATATAATGCATTGGAACCAATACAGTAATGTATAGGCACAGGTAAAGACTAGAGAAAAAACGACACGACGGTAAAGGATTTTCACAATGGCAAGGAGCTTTTCCGTGTACTTGTATTGGAATACACCATAAATATATTGATAAAAAATAAATGCGGGCACAACTACGCTGCCAGCACAGATTCACACGTGAGTGAACTAGGAAAGGTATTTGCACCAGCAAGATGTGCACAGAGCCTCACGCCCGGAGCTAGAGGCAGACAGAATTGATCTCAACGTATCGCAATTGCAGAACACAAACCGCAGTCTCCATTAGGCCCATTCTCAGTGGTCACATGTATCAGAGCAAGGTCCACGTCACACAGCAATTGAATTCTTTCACACGGTCAGCCTCTCAGCTTATAGATCATAGTGTTGGCAGTGACCGCAGGAAGAGCAGTACGCCTCGCTGGGCTGGCAGCCAGGGATGCAGAAGTTCCATGGAAAGAAGAAGAAGCAAAGGAGCCAAGCCGTAAGGGTCCACCTCTCAGGCCCTGTGGGAGTTAGTAGCACATACAAACACATGCACAGACAGACACATGCACAGACAGACACATGCACACAGACACATGCACACACAAACACACACACACAACGGCAGGCATGACGTACATCGTTATGCAAGCCTCAACAGCAAGATGGTAGTTGACCGCAACCGGCCGTGAATGGGCGGAAACCAGGGTCTTGTTGTTCTTCCAAATCTTGATTCTAACGATGACCCGTGGCCAATAAGAGATGCTTGTTGTTATTGCCGTTGCCGATATGCTCATAAAGTATGTCAACCCTTTAGGGACAGACCACGCATCTATCAATCACGCACTTTTAGGGCGCATTCACACGCACGGATAAAACACGGCAGTTGGGAAAGTTGTCATGACAAAGTGCTCACGTGACGTTCCTGGCGCGTTTCCGCCAGGAAAAGTTGCCCAGCTTGCGGAGGAGCACTAGGAAAGGTTTACTGCCTGTAATGTTGGTCTGGCGCGGTGATTTGAAAGCTGTTTGTTGGAGTGTAGTGTGTCTGGTGAGGTTGAAAGTGTCGAAGAACCATCATGCCGAAAACCGTGTTCAACAACGAGATGGAGCGAGCCGTGATTAAGAGCTATGTGGAGGTGCGTACGTCGTTTGCATGCAGAACAAATCGAGGAGATGGATGACGAAATACTAAATTGAATTCCGATATTCCCTCTTGTGTGCCAGATATTTGTAGGCGCTTCAGGTTCTACATTGACGGCTCAAAAGAACGGTCAACGAGACCGGAGTAGCTGAAGGCTGGACTGCGGTTACCCGTGCAAAAATCGAGACGAAGATTGACAACTTGAAGTGCAAAGGAAAGAAAATCTATAAGACCTTCAGGACGAAGACTAGAGCTCCAGTTAATGAGGAATTTGATTTGAAAATTTTGATTTTTGCCGCGCCGGCGCCTGGCTGCCTTGGTTGGCATGGCGAAAAGAGCGGCTTCGGGGATTTGCACGCTTTTTACAAAGTACGTCTGAATGCACCAAAACACTTTTCACGCCAGGCAAGCTGTACCCGTATCCGGTTTTTCCGTGCGTGTGAATGCGCCCTAAAGAAGGAATCAAAAGGGTTTTTGCTGTAACTCTGAGTTTCACGTTTTTTTACCGATCATCAGAGAGCAAGACAGCAAGTTTCACAGTTTTAACCAATCATCAGACGGCAAAGTTGCCGTCTGATGATCGGTAAATATCGTGAAACTGAGAGTTACAGCAGAAGTGTTTTTGATTCCTTCTTTGAAGTGTGTGTACTAGGCTCTGAACCTTGGTATATTGAGCACCGTCATGAGCAATGGCAACTCTCTCCGAGTTTGTCTATCAATCAAATGCGATTGATAAATTCAACCTTCGCAAACTATCGTAACTTGGTCAATTCTCAGTTGTTTGAAGAATAAATGTGTTGAGCGAAGAGAACAGTAGCAGCTGTCGCCTCGAAGAATCACCAAAAGCGATAGGATAAGCGGCTTGTGAGACACGTTGCTCGTAACTTTGGTCAAGGCCAAGTTGCGCTCAGGGCGCGATGTGTGACTTAATGGCCAGGATTTCTCAGAACCCGTCAGCTGTTGGCAAGGATACATTCGTTCAAAATCGAACAGACTCCCAAGAGTGGCTACAAAAAAGATTTGAGCTTCACACGAACAAGGAGAGTGAAGCGGCGTGTGGAGATCAATCGAGATCGCAAGCCCTGCGCTGAAACGCTCTTGCTAGCTTGCAGCGCTGGGCCACCAAATCCTCTGGAATTGAGTTTGAATTCATAGTGTTCTTCTCGTCAGAAGATTTCCAGGATGATGACAAATGTTCAATGGAAACCAAAGCTACGTCCAATTCAAGGTGAAGATTTAGAGGGTGTAATTCTCAGGATACATTGAGTTCTGACCGTAGAGGGTTTTAAAGGGGAAGTTAAGGCTAAAATCAAAATTTCACCAGTTGTAGCAAGAGTACATAACCCCCCAGAGTGTGCAACGCCGATCCAGCTCTGTGTAGGGTCTTGGTTGAGCGGAATCGGATCTTCTGGTGTCATGCGTACACTTCACACCAGCGCAAGGCCGGTCTCGAGGCAGGGCACCATTGTTTTTGATCCAAGAGTACCCGCGACTCCCCGGGTTCCCCTCAGATGTGTACGGTATTATGACGCAAAGATCCGATTCCGCTCGACCAAGACCCTATGCAGAGCTGGATCAGGCGTTGCACACTCTGGGGGGTTATGTACTCTTGGTTGTAGTCTTCGGGGTGCTGAGTCGAATGGTCGTGGTCCGAGGAAGCTGAGACGCTCCCTTCCTACTTGAATGAGAATCCCAATCGAACTCGCGCACTTCCACCGAAACTGGGTGACTGCGCCCTACTAGATGGGGATTTGTATGCAAAATGTCACTAAAAGCGCCATTTCGTTCTCATAAAAGCACGGATGACCGCGATTGGCCCATATGTTGTAGTCTTTTGGACGCTGAGTCGACTGGTTTTGGTCCGAGAAAGCTGCGATGCAGCGTTCCTCCTTTATTCCCAATCGAACATGGTTGAACAAGCGGTCACGTGCTCCTGCGTGCCCAAGTCACCTGGTCACAGCGCCAGCAAGCGATAACTTTCACACCAAGGTTCAACTGAAGTGACAGGACTGCACCCAAAAAAGGTCAAAACAGGCTGTAAGTTGTATACAGAAGCCTTGCTTGGTAGTTTAACATGTTTTTTTCTATTTTGACAGCATGTTACACTACGGGTTATGGTTGTAGTCAGGAGCACTACGCGTCCTCGCCTTGTAACATGCTGTCAAAATCGAAAAACAAGGCTGTAAGTTGTACCCTGCAGGCACGGTGACCGGGTGACTGGTGTACGCAGGAGCACGTGACCGCTTGTTCAAGCATGTTCGATTGGGAATAAGGGCCGAACGCTGCATCGCGGCCTTTTCGGACCAAAACCAGTCGACTCAGCGTCCAAAAGACTACAACATATGGGCCAATCGCGGTCAACCGTGCTTTTAGGCCACACGTTTTTATTTCTATGTTTCTCGTCACCTTAAATTCTAAAAACGTATGCGAGAGGTGGAAAAAAATAAAAAATGACCGAAAAATAAAAAAAGTTTATTAGACCTTTAACTTTGTTCACACTAAAATCCCCCAATACACCATGCAAAATAGCATCCATAGTTAGCAACTAGGATGCGGTAGGAGCTTCTGTCACGATCTGTGCATGTGCAGCTAGATTGCGCACAATAAAATTAATGGTGACCTCGCATCATGTGTCGCGCAGGCCAGGTCACATCATGTACATGTGCATGAGTGTGCTGGTCCCCACAATGCACAGTCAGTGCAGCACATTTTTTTCTTTTTTTCCTCCAGACTCCTGAATCGTGTGCGCGCGGGTGACGAGAAACATAGAAATAAAAACGTGTGGCCTTATAATAACGAAATGGCACTTTTAGTGACATTTTGCATATAAATCCCCATCTAGTAGGGCGCAGTCACCCAGTTTCGGTGGAAGTGCGCGAGTTCGATTGGGATTAAAGTAGGAAGGGAGCGGCTCAGCTTCCTCGGACCAAGACCATTCGACTCAGCACCCCGAAGACTACAACTGGTGAAATTTTGATTTTAGCCTTCACTTCCCCTTTAAAGGGGAAGTATACCCTAAAATCAAATTTTCACCAGTTGTAGTCTTCTGGGTGCTGAGTCGAATGGTCTTGGTCCGAGGAAGCTGCGACGCTCCCTTCCTACTTGAATCCCAATCGAACTCGCGCACTTCCACCGAAACTGGGCGACTGCGCGCTACTAGATGGGGATTTGGATGCAAAATGTCACTAAAAGCGCCATTTCGTTCTTATAAAAGCACGGATGACCGCGATTGGCCCATATGTTGTAGTCTTTTGGACGCTGAGTCGACTGGTTTTGGTCCGAAAAGGCTGCGATGCAGCGTTCCTCCTTTATTCCCAATCGAACATGGTTGAACAAGCGGTCACGTGCTCCTGGGTGCCCAAATCACCTGGTCACCGCGCCAGCAGGCGACAACTTTCACACCAAGGTTCAACTCGAGTTCAACTCGAGTGACAGGACTGCACCCAAAAAAGGTCAAACAGGCTAGTAAGTTGTACCCTGCAGGCACGGTGACCAGGTGACTGGTGTACGCAGGAGCACGTGACCGCTTGTTCAACCATGTTCGATTGGGAATAAAGGAGGAACGCTGCATCGCAGCCTTTTCGGACCAAAACCAGTCGATTCAGCGTCCCAAAGACTACAACATATGGGCCAATCGCGGTCATCCGTGCTTTTATAAGAACGAAATGGCGCTTTTAGTGACATTTTGCATACAAATCCCCATCTAGTAGGGCGCAGTAACCCAGTTTCGGTGGAAGTGCGCGAGTTCGATTGGGAATAAAGGAGGAAGGGAGCGTCTCAGCTTCCTCGGACCAAGACCATTCGACTCAGCACCCCGAAGACTACAACTGGTGAAAATTTGATTTTAGGGTATACTTCCCCTTTAAGCATTACAGTGACTGCGCCCTATAGACTCCAAAGCGGTGCTAGGTATTTCACTGATGTGATACAAGCAAGAAGCAAAGGATTCTCCCTGCGAGCTATAGGTATCGACAAGATGCAAGAAATGGGCAACTCACCCATAGGGCCGCCACACCGATGGCATCCACCGTGGGTGGTGACAATGGTGGTGGTTCCGGGGCAGGGCGCACTGCTGGTGGCCACGGTCACATTGGCCGGCACTGCATTGTATCCTGGTGGGTTGGCTGGTGCTGAAACCTGCATGCAGATACACACACACACACGCAAACACACACAGCACACACGCGCGTGCCCGCGCGGACATAGCACTTGATCAATATCAGACATTGGCTATGTGGCGGCGTTCAGAAGAGAAATGTTCAGAAGGAAACTTGGAAAGAGGACTCGACTGGCTTTTGAGCCACCCAACAGGCGATGGCAAGAGTCCACAATCAAGAGTATGCAACTGTGATTAAGGCTCACTGCACGACGCGTTGCCATCATTCCACAACTTGCTTACATCAAGCATGATACTGATCTTCTCAAGCCCACAATCTCTTGTACCAGCACACCTATATTTGCACGACTCTTTCAAGTTAGGACGCGATCTCCAAATTTGAGGTTCATGAACTTCAGTTCCAAGCGAAAGTAGTTTCAAGCCACAGGGAAAGTGTGGTATTTTGATCCACAAATACATGTACATACCTGAAGATTGGTTTTGCACGCTCCACAGCTGATGACACCAGCATGTCCAGGAGGAACAACCAGAACGGTGTTGCAGTTGCCACAACGGATATGAACCTGGAGAAAACCAGCAAGGATACAAGTATTAATTTTATATAACCAGAACCAACGAAACGCGAGAAGAATCGAAGAAGTCATCATTCGTTTGTTTAGCTTAATTAAGCTCAGTGCCACTTATCTATGACTTGATGTATGACTGGCAAAGTGAAAGGCTGCCGTCTGGAGTACATGAGGAGCACGTCCCACCTTCCACTTCGCAAGCCTGCAAGAGAGTATCACTCCCTGCTCAATGCGCATTGTTTCCAGCAATTCACCCCTCCTCAGTCGAGCTTCCAAAGGCTAATCAGGAGTGTGGGGAGGTAATTTAGGGTGATACGGTCAGCCATCTGAGGTACAATTTACTTGTTGGGAGGGGGTTGGCTCGGCTGAAAAGTGAAAATATTCGAAATTCAGAGCCCAAGTCAGTGCTTTTGATTGATTTACGGGGTACCTGGGCAACGAGTGGTGCGGTCAATACCGTAGTCACCGAAGCGTGTCCGACAGCCCTGACAACGAAAATTGTTCTGCAGGAGCATTACATTGTACAGCGCTGCAGCACCCCAAACATCACACTAGGGACACAGACTTACAGTGACGCTCCATTTCCAGTGCGACATGACTGTTACACCCTCATTAGGGCACAGGTAGCAGACTTGCCACCCAGGAGTTGTCACGCTGAAAATGGAGCATCACTGCACATGCATCTAAAATTGTTCAGTTGGCTTTCCCCATACACTTTGCCATGGTATACCGGGCCTGCTTTTGTACAATCTCGGGCTGCACTTTTGACTCCCTATCCTTGGGAGATAATTTTTTTTCCAGACAAACCTCATTACAGTATAAAGTCACCTTCAGCTGTCCCTCATGTTAGATGCCCCTCATTACAAGACAAAGCAGATGGCCATGGACTACGAATTCGCTCGAATGGCTCAATGTTTTATGAAAGAGCTAGTACAGAACAGAACAACAAGGACAATCAAGGCTTGTTTGCTGCGACTTGAAGTTTCATGCTCTCACAATCATCAGGCAACATGAAGGTTGGAAATGGTGTCCAAGTGCCGACACGAGAACAAGTATCTCCTAAAATACCACGGTGTCACTTAAATATGTCCACAGCCTCCTGCCCACATCATTCACGTTCACACTGCTAGCTCTAGACTATAGCCTCCTGCCTACAACATCCACACACATTGCTCACCACCTCCTGCCCACACCAGCCACACATTCTGCGCTAATATTGAACTGCTAGCCCCTGCCTTCAGCAACCACACACTCTGCACACAGCCTACTGCCTCAGATAACACCGCTAGCCCCAACATTCTCACAGCTTTTCATACCTTCTCCTGACATATATACTGGCATGGTCGGCACCCAACCTTCATGTTGCCTGATGATTGCGAGAGCATGAAACTTCTCAAGTCGCAGCAAACAAGCCATGATTGTCCTTGTTGTTCTGTTCTGTATCACGCTCTGCCTCCGCGGTGTTGAGCACTGTCAGCACTCTGGGTACACCCTGTGGTGAAAGAGCTAGTATTAAACTTGGCGAAACGTTTGAAAACACAATGTCTCCGCAATGTGTGTTCCTTTTTAGCTAGCTTGGTCTATGTTTGGTCTAGGTTTCTATGTTTCATGTTGTCATAGGGGTCTGGTGGAAAAATCGTACAGGGCTCTGGGGGAAAACTTTGTCTTGCTATGGGGAAGCATCGGCCCTGAGGCGGATACATGATTGTATGAGCACAAAGAGGTGCAAGTCCTGACAGTAGCCAGTACTTGTTCACAAAATGCCGAAGCCCCCCAGGTTGTCCACAGGCGAGGATAGACCTGTACTGAGCACTCATGTTTAATAATTATACTCGCCAGTAACTCCTAGCTCCGCTGATGAGAACTGACAAGGACATTATGTCGAAACAGCTACTAGTAGCTGCCCGAAGATTGAGCATGTACCGGTCCAAGTCTATCCTCGGAGAAGATTACATGCAAACAGCTCAAGGTTTGGCAGCCTAGGGAGGGAAACGAACACACAGGCCGGTTACTAATGCAGTCTTAGTCATGCGCTTGCTTCTGGTACTCACCGAAGACATGTTGTCGAAGAAAATGAGTCAATCCACGTTCACTCGAACTCCGACGGCCAGCACAACCACAAAGAAATCCAAACTGAGAAGAAGGTCTAGCTAGAACTGAGAGTGGCAAACGTTACGTGGTTCGAAAGTTCGTTCGTTGTGATTTATGTCAGATTATGAGCTTCGACTGTGCGCATACGAGTAGATCTACGAGACTACGAGTACGAGTACAAGTACAGTCATGTTTACGTGACGTCACTGTAACGTCACACGCGCGTACGCGTCTCTGATACGAAAAGCGGCCGCGGCGCTGGCTCAGCACGGCCACGCGTGCCCACGCGATTTGCGATTTGGCGCTCACTGCGCTGCACTGTACTGGTGCACTGGTGAACAATAATGTGGCGAAGGTAGAAAGTGGAGTGGCAGCGTTTGTCTTCTCTGCGATAGCTGATGGACTTGTATCTTTGTTCAAGAACAGAATAGCAAGTAGTTTTACAAACATCAACCGCCATGGCTGCACTGGAAGATACGCCGATAGAGAGCTTCGCAGAGCTGCAAGGCCCGGTAAATAGCTACCACTTGAAAATGTTGCCATTCCAGTATATGTTCATGCAATGTTGACCTTTGTCCTGGTTTGAGATTTTGGAGAAGGGGTGAACCATTCACATGAGATTGTTATGAAAGAGCTATAATGTACTTTATAATGTACTTTGCAGTACGTATGAAATCCATATCTGTAGCGTAAAAGTTATGGTAAAAGTAATACACAAAGTCACACAATGAAAACCTTGGCAAATTAAGTTGTCTGATGATTGGTTCAGCCATGAAACTCTGAGTCACAACGGAATTAATTTGCCAAGGTTTTCATTGTGTGCCTTTGTGTACGCCGCTCTGCCTGAATCAGACATTGAGCACTCTTTTGCAGAACCAAAGCATATTGCCTCTGTGGTAAAAGTAATATAAATCATAAGGCCAAGGCAAAGAATAATTCTTATACAATACTTGATGATTGTCCTTTTTTTCACCAAAAATGGGGAGGGCGGACGGATTTTTTAAAGATTTTTTATGCATTATTGGAGAGGTTCTGCACAACGAAAATTCGAACGAAGTTTCGCGACAGGCCTTGCGAAAATGTGTGCGAATTTTCGCATGAACTTTGTGTTCTGCACATTTTCGTAGTTTGCACGCGCCAAGTGCACGCACACCATGACCCGATCTCACGAAACTTCCTACGAAAGTTCATTTCGCGTTCCCTGCAAGTTTCACGTCCCAAGTTGCGAAAGTTCAAGCGAAGTTTCTCAAGCGAAGTTTCTCACTTTGTGACTTACCGTAGTGACGCACATAAAGGCCCATGCGCTTATGAGTGAGTTTTTGCGTTATTTGCTATTTCTTGCGGGTCGTTTTGTCTCACACGTAGGCGCATGCGCTTGAGTTGCCAGTGCACCGGTACCATGCATAATTATGCACACAGTGCAATACCGTAATACACACTGAACCATGTGAACATGGTGTTTTTGTGGTGTATGTGTGCCACGGGATGGATTGCATTTTGGTTCACTTATAAGCCCTATTTGTGAGAGTGTGCTTATGCCCGGGTATAGGCACATGTGCTTATGCCCGGGTATAGGCACATGTGCTTATATGCGCGTCGCTACGGTAGAGCGAAAGTTCGTACACATTTTTGTTTTGCAGAACCTCTCTGTTACTTGATCACTGAGGGTGTGTTTGGTTGGTACGTTCTAGAACAGGATCATGACCATGGTCACTTTGTACCGTACAACGAGTGCATGCCAAGTCCAACCCGAAAGCGTATGCACGCGATCATTTGGGACCAAAATCGATGTTCCCGCCAGGTTTCACTGTGAAAGAGTGAAACTGCTTGGTCTCTGTACGTACAGACCGGACCTCGGAAAATAAATGTAAATTCCCGGGCGGCCCCCAAATTTTGGGGCGGGCGGGTACGATCATCAAATATTTAGAAAAAGCGATCCTGTCAGCTCTTCTATTATTTATTCTTTGGCTTGGCCTTATATTAAATAATTATAAAGATATGAATAGGACCAGCCGCGCACTCAGGACTCCATACATACCGACATCAAGAAAACACCTACCTCGTCCTGATATGTTTTTGGAATCATGAGTGTGCAGTTGATCCTTCATGTAGCTTCCTTTTAAAATAGTCTCCTCGCGAATCATTTGAAAGCTACTACAGTTGCGCTTGGTGAAATCCGACCCAGAGTACACATTTAGCGCCCTGGAAGTGGCACGAATGCGGTTGTATGTACACATGTACAAATACAATGATATAATTGGAACGTGTCCAGGGCGCCAGCTTTGCACTTTTGGTCGAATTTCACCGAGCACAACTGTAGTATATCTTCAGACACGACATCTTGTTATTTATTCTTGTGACTAGGAAAAGAAATTTACTCACGCATGATTCTCAATACCACTTTCCTGCGATGCGATACAAACTGTGACGAGCTGCGACCGCGGCACATGGTTTCTGTTACTTCTGAATGCCTATCTCTTGGTCTGGCAGCTCAAAGCCTATATATAGGCTTTGGTTTTTGTTGGTATTTTAGGAGTTTTTTTTTAATGATAAAATGAGACAGCTCCACTCGCAGGCCTGGGGTACCTGTGAACTCAGGCAAGTCGTTCGAGGGCATCGTTTCACTCCATCCAATGTCAATTGCATGTTCCCGTCTATTATCCGTTCGGCTTGCTCCAGTAGCAGCGTTGTTAGTTGCTGGAGGAGGGGGAACAGATTCTTGTGGACTCGCCGGCAGTTCATCATCGCTCTCTGCTTCAACACCAGGCGCAGACTCTACATCACTACTGCTCCCAGTGGCTTCAGCAGCCCCAACCTCCATCCTCAAACCAAGCCTATATAAATAGGCTCGAACAATTTAGACAATATCCGCCAACTGAATACCTCAACCTGACAAAACTACAACTTCCTTCTTCAAAACTTGGACGCCATTTTGACCATGTGCAGTTGTTTCCGTGGTAACAGGGAACAGGCAAACTGCGCGCATCAGCTCCAAAGCCTATATATATAATTATAGGCTTTGCCAGACCAAGAGATAGCACAATCAGTCATGCGCGTGCAGGGCAGGGTGTTACAGCCCAGTAAATTGTGCTCTGTACGTTGCGTGTCGCAATTGGCTTAAGTTGAACCTTGGCCATTTTCCAGCAGGACAGTGGCTTCAGTGGGGCATGGTGATCGTCCAACAAGCGGCATCACCACTCCTAGATAAACATGTCAAGTTTCTCGTCGGAGTTCGTGCCCGCTTGCAGGCTCTCCGGCGCAATATAGACGTACCAGGGCATCGAGTCAGAGCCGTCACGTCTGCACCTTAACTACCGTGTAGCGAGCGGGCCATACCTACGTCTCCTATTTTCGCTCTTCCTGCCGTGATCAGGATGTTCTGTGGCTTCAAGTCGCAGTGCAAAATATTCTTGCTGTGTGGAAAGCGCAAACCTTACGCTACGTCAACTAGGTACTGGAGGCTTTGAGCGAATGGCTCTTTTGGCTTAACTCTAATGTAACTGTCTAGCCAGCCGGTCATCAGTTCTGCCGCAATGTGCGGAGAGCTATTGGGTGCAATGCCGATCGCCAAGAGTCGTGCAATTCTCTCGTGTTACAGTCGGCGCATGACCAGGCACTCAGCGCCGAATTGCTGCAAAAGAGCTGTACGCCGACAGGGCCAGATGATCTGCTGTATTTGTTGGTTTCAAGCGGTACACACCTCGTTCACTCTTATCCGAGACTAATGTCAGCTTTTTCATATCAATGCCCAGTGCACTGGCGGTCTTCTCGAACTCCTCCGGAGTCCTCGTCATGCAACCACCTCAACAGTCCAGTCTTTCCTGCGCGACCAGGGCCCATGCGCAGTACATGCTCATACACGGTGTCGGTGGTGCAGCTTGTGTGCACTTCCTTCCTCTGCCGAGGTCTTCTTTCTACATCGCATCACAAGAATGAAAAGCACATCCACTTCTCCGGCAGTTGAGAGACGCTGGCCATGAACTAATGGAGAGAAGTATTTTGAAACGATTGCAAACTGATCTTTTGCAGCTAACCACATGGCTGTGTAGGGATGAACTGTCAACCAGATACCATGATTGACCGGAGAACCTTGTAGCTAGTGCCGATTGTTGCAATTCGTATTCTGAGTATTGGTTCACTGTTCTATGCAGTGATTATGGGTTTCAGTTAAAACTAGGTTATAAAAAACCCCGTTATTCAGCATCTGTGTTCGCCCAATCTGTGTGTACAAAAAGATAGTATAATTGACATTATTTTAAAATTGTTATACGTACACACGTTTTAGTTGCCGTGTTGTACCGTTGCCACCCGTTTGGGTTTCCTCTTTGAGGCCCATTAACAATATCACTTTCTGCAGCGCAACATGCGACATATGACACTTGCGACAAGGAAATGCTTGTCACGTACTGTCACTAGCAGTCGTAAGGCCACTGTCGCAGAAGTTGGCCAAAGTTCAACTTTTGCGACATGCGACGTACTGTACAAGCAGAAATATTCGTCTGGAATTTAATTTCGTCTTTTTCGTCCAACAAGCTGTTGGACTAAATTAAATGCCGGACTAATATTGATTTGTCCAGCTTTTCAATACACTCTTATGATCCATGGACGAAATTTACAACCGGACGAATCCCCTTTCTTTGGAGTTGGACGAAATTATTGACCGACGAAATTTTCTGCTTATACAGTACATAAATGGAGTGCAGTTTTCTAATTGTATGTTGTCCACAAATTAGGACTCAAACGGCTACGGTTTTCACCTTAACGGACGGTTAACTGCTACGCTAACGGTCGGTTTATCGGTTATAACCTATAAGCTGCGGCAGTCCGGCGGGTAGCTAATTTGAACAGTATAGTTCTATGTACTCGTTCGAAAATGTACCGTGATAGGTTGTAAAACTGGCAAAACTCAGTAAAAAGGTGTACTTCGAAAACTCAGTAAAAAGGTGTACTTCGAAAACTCAGTAAAAAGGTGTACTTCGAAATCTCGGAAAAAAAAGTACCATCGCAAGTCTCTTTACACAAACGGGTAACCATGGTAACGGTTATCTTTTCAAAACCGGTTAATCGGACTAACTGTTTGAGCCCTACCACAAATTATGCCTGGGTTGAGCCAAATGCCCTCACTTTACAATGGGCCGGATACGATTAAGTTTCGGGAAAAGTGTCTCAGCGGAATGCAATGAAACACTTTTGGAAACGGCGGGCGCACCCTAAGACCCCGGTCACACTACGTAAAAAGTGCTGCGTCAGCGTCTGAATTGTGAGTTTTTCTATGGCAACTGACGAAAACGCGGGAAATTAAAGCGTCAGACGCAGCAGCAGCGTCTGACGCGAGCAAATCGACTGCGTTGACGCTGCCGCTGCAAGCACTTGAATGAAAACAGTGTCTTTTGAAAATAGTGTACGTACCGTACCGTACTCTATCGAAGGGATTTGATTCGCCACACGGTGGTTTTGTGAAGTGTGTCAGACTGCGACGGCGAAAGCAAAAATGCAGTGTGACTCAGCGTCAAGTGCTTGGGTTTGACGCTACATCCAGCTTAAAACTTGACGTAGTGTGACCAAGGCCTGATCAGCTGCATCTGGTGCTCAATTTCTCCTACTTTTGGAAACGGCAAGTCCGGACCTCTGGAAATCCACCCAGTTTATTTTGTGCTTGGTTTCTGGTCTAGGATGGCCTTAACACAGTGACCCGGAGGTTTGCAAACTCGGTAGAGGTTGTACGCTATGCAATGGAGTTTTACAAGGTAGGTGGCTTTGTGTGTGCAGGCGTGTGTGTGAGTGTCTGTGCACGCGCGCTTGTGTGTGTGTGTATGTGTATGAGTGTGTGTGTGTGTGTGTGTGCACGCTTGTGTGTGTGTGTGTGTGTGTGTGTGTGTGTGTGTGTTTGCGTGTATGTGTGTATGTGTGTGGGTGCATACATGAGTGCATTCTCGTCTTGATTTGTTAGGAAGCACAGGAATAGCACACATTCAAGAGCATGCAGCATGTTTCACGTCATACTCTTCAGTACACTTGCTATAACCTACAAAGTTGAAAACTGTAATACTGTCTTATTGTTGGACATCTGGAGTGGGCTTGCCACTAACCATGGTTGGCTTCCTCTAGTGCATAGATGCAGCACGGCAACAGTGATCCTATCCACCAGCAATAGCTTTACATGTTCCTTATTTTCCGGAGTATAAGCTGCACTGGAAACCTTCGTAATTCACCCAAAGAAGAGTTGAAGAGTTGGTGCAGCTTTTACTACGATGGTCACATGAACTGTGGAATTCGTGAATGTCTGTATTTCGTTGCAAAACAATCTGGATGTGTGCGTGTGTGTGTGTGTGTGCGCGCGTGTGTGTGCGTGTGTGTGTGTGTGTGTGTGTGTGTGTGTGTGCGTGTGTGCGTGTGTGTGCGCGTGCGTGTGTGTGTGTGTGTGTGTGTGCGTGTGTGTGTGTGTGTGTGCGTGTGCGCATATGTGTGTGTGTCATGTGTGTATGTGTATTTGTATGTTGCATGCTCAGGGCCTAGCAGAATTAGAGGATCAGTACGCCACTGGTCTTGCCAAGCTGCTTCGCAGTCCTTGCTACACGTTCAAGCAGCACTTTCTCATGCAGTGGCTGGGAAATGAGAGCACCGAAGAGATTGGGTATGCCCTCAGGTGTTTTGTATTTTGCACTATCGTCATGCGTATCAATATCCTGATAGCTGTCTTGCTTTAAATTTTCAATCCCAGTGTGCTGGAGCTAGGGAGCATGAGAACAGACGCAAGCAGTGGATTGAAATAATATGGATGTGTTCATGCGATCTTGCTTGCTTGCCTGCCTGTGTGTGCGCGCGTGTGTGTGTGTGTGTGTGTGTGTGTGTGTGTGTGTGTGCGTGTGTGTTCAGATCACTGAACAGCGGCTGGGTGAAGCTCGGCAGGGAGTTGCAGTTGCTCGTTGGTCATCACAGAAACATGGTCAGGTCATCCCTTCTCTGTTGTCATTGTCGTTACAATACGAGCCGAGCCAAGCTAAAAAGGTGGCTTAGGCATAATTTTTGGAAATTTCTTTTTTCATGCCAAAGTGATGTCTATATATCCATTTTCCATCATGGGAATTTTGGTGCCCATCTGAAATGTATATGTGCCATAAATAAGCATACATTGTGCACATGTCACAAAATGGCTGGTATCAATGACACTAAGGATTCCAAGACCTTCCGAAACTCCAAGAAAACATGGGACACCAAGTGGAGACAAAGCTTAGCAGGTGTGAAAGCAATACAAGAAGAATGAGAACTTGTGTTCTAATTTAAGAAGCTCCAAGAAATAATAGATCTACATTTGAAAATTTTCATCCTGACTCATGTCATTTTATCACGCAATACGAATTTTCGTATCATTCATCATGATGTTGTGACTATATTTTTCGCTGGGTTGGGGAACGTCGCATCTTACCAAGCCAGTCCGTTATACTCTCTCCAATCACCTATGCCAGGATGAATTAATCCTTTCATGTAGCTCGTAGTGCTGTGCCAGAGATCTCCTACATATAGGTCCAGTAGACTGCACATCGCTAACAAGCGGCACTGGTTCTGTGTCCGTCCTAGTCCAGGTCATTCTCCTTCCCTGCCAAGGATACTGGTAGAAGGCGCCACGGGACAATATGCTAGCAGGTAGAGTCAATGCATCGCTTCGTCGTGTGGCACTATTTCCTTGAAACGAGGACATATTGGAATCCAGTACGTCACGTCATGAACACTAAATGGAAGGTAGCCGAAACAAAGTGAAACATCGCAGCAAGAGCCAACTCACCAGGCCGCTTGTCAGAATGATAGTCGGAGGGCTTGTAGACGTCTCCCCATAGCTATACTCGTCGCTCTAGTCGTGGCCACGATAAGAAACACAGCCACTATGAATGAGCGACTCTTCCTCGTCAAGTAGGTTTGGGCGCACACAGATACAGAATGTCATCCTGCTCACCTCCACATTCTCTAGAAGCTCCATTACGATCTCTGGCAGCGCTGAGGAATCCCCACAACGATGAAGGAGGGAACACTGAAGAAGTGTTGCTCAAACATAAAAAGGCTTCTCTCTTCATCCTCTTGCAAACTTGAATGAAAGTGAATATTTTCGCGATCGCGCTCGAGTAGAATTTTGCCAACTGTGACGTTTTGGTGATTTTCTCGATTTGTTGGCAAAACACGAAGCCACTTTTTAGCTTGGCGCGGCTCATACAGTGAAAGCAGCGACTCTGCTGTATTCGTCAGGGCGAGTTCTCTAGCCACCAGTACACTAGTACACACATGCTCCCTCTCTCCCGATCAGCGCCAACAGGACAGGACCATTCCTCAAGAAGAAGGGTGAAGTTGTTTGCAGGAATGATGTGTGCACTTGTGTTTCAGAGAAGGGCTTGTACTCTCTGCAGGGAACAGCGCTAGAACGTGGTGGCGTTTTTGTTGTTGCATGAAACACGACTCGTGTACTGGTGCCTAGGAACACCCTGATGAATACTAGTATAGCGGAGCTGCCGCCGCCACATTCCCTGCACAGTCCAGTGTCTGCAGCGTCAGGGCCTTTCAGGCCCGCACGGCCCTCGGGCCGTAACACCCATGGATATAGATTTCACATGCCCCACTATAGCCTGCACTATATACTGTAAAAGCCATTATTCTAACGAGGCGCATATATAACGATTTCCCAAAATTGACTAGTTCACGTGTACCAAAGGTAACGATTCTCACTCATTCTCAACGCTCAATAGGACAGTATATGTATCGATTTCTGTATAACGATTTCTATTTTAACGACAGATTTCTCCTCGTTAACTCGTTAGAGTTAGCACTTCGTTATATGTATGGCTTTTACAGTATTGTGGGTTTGTTCAATGGAGTTCCAATCAGGGCAGGTGTTTGAATGCTGTTGGTCTGTTGGTAATTACCCACCAAAACACTGTCATTGTAAAGGAAATTCTATGTTCCGGAATACATCCAGGTTTATGTTTTGTGTTCCTGAAGTGCACGGTGAGACACGACCTGCTATTGCTCTGGCGTTGTCGTTCGGCCAAGTTGTGTACGGAGAGAACACTGAGTCGTCGTCATGCGAGGGTCACTACTTTCTTGCGGATGTTGTCGTCTGTCCGCTGATAAGACATGTGCAGTCCGGCTCAATGAAGTCCAGTCGCCTCGCTCACGTTTGGGCCTTGCATCATTTTGCAGCCCAGTGTTCGCAGGTCTAGGGCTGCGCATCACCCGACACGTACTTGAGTGACTCTACTGGATTTCATTGAGCAGCACTGAAGTACAGTCAGACCTCGCTTATCCGGTCCTCTTTTATCCGGACCCCTCGCCATCCGGAAGTAAATTGTTGGTTACCGATTTACAGCATAATTATGTCATGTACACATACAGTACTAGCATGTGTGTTCGATTATCCGGTTCCCTTGCCTATCCGGATATTTTTGTGGAAAACGAAAGTGTGCGGTTAAGCGAGGTCTGACTGTACTGTTTGCTGTGCGTTCCGTGTGCTTTTCAGGCCAAGGACCTACTGACCAGTGTCCGACAGCCACTGGATAAGATGCTTCCTAAACTTGACCAGCTCAAAACCCATGTAAGCACACTGACCTGCTTGTACTGCTCTGGACGCTTTCAATACGAGTTTTTCACACCTTTCACTGCATTGGAATCACCTTCCATTCTCAGTGTACTCCAGTTTACAGCACTGCTCAATGGAATCTGAAGTTTCGATTCACATAACGGAAATACGGCCACAAATCGATCGTTCCGGGTTCTCCTTGGGATACTTTCAATGCGAGTTTTGAACACCTCACACTGCATTGCAATAAACTTCCGTTCTTAGTGTACTCCAGTTTACAGTACTGCTCACTAGAGTTTGATCTCATGACTAAGTTAGCGCCCCGCAACAGTCCACAGCCCAATGTTGGCAGGTCTGCGGCTGCACAGCGCTCGGCGCGACACTGACTCACGCCATTGTATTTCGTTGAGCAGCACTGCAGCTTACTGTTGTTGAATGTGTCCCGGTCTTGTGTTGCATTCAGCTGAAGAACTCTTCGAAGCAGTTGTCGCAGGAGCTTGAGGTGAAGGAAAAACAGCACAGTGCGGTAAGCCGTGGAACTGTGTTACACGGGAGTAATGCATGTCTTATAGCTGTACTTTACTAGACGTGCCGTGTGGCTCTGCCATGCATAATGACCTTGCTTGAATGTCATAAAATGTCTTGTTCTCTTGCTGTTATAATCAGGTTTTCCTCGCAGCCAAGACCTTTCCTAGACTTGTTCAAATGATCCTTTGTTTTTCTGTGCTGATTATTCTTGCAGGACAAGAAGCGCTATGATGATCTGTGTAAAGAATGGCAAAAGCTAGAAGACAAACTCATAGCAGCTAGGTATGGTGTACATGTACACTGTGCAGCTAGCCTGTAGGAATCCTACTCCGTACAGTGTGCAGGCGCGTGCCCCGTATGGGTTCCTGGGTGCCCGGAACCTCCCCCCCCCTTTTTCGCTCAAAATGCAGGATTTTGCTTCATTTTTTGAAATTTTTCCCGGGGGAGGTCCCCGACCCCCCCCCCCCTTGAACGGCACAGGCGCACGCGTCTGGTGTGTACATGTATTGCTAATGCTTGCACAGTGCATGGCACTTGAAGTTAGAGCGAAAACAGTCTCCCACATGTACTTGTGTATGTCGCTTTGCACTCTTGTGCATTGAGCACTTTTCTAGCTGCACTGTCTGTCCAGTATTGTACAGTATTTATTGCCCGGTAGCTATTGGCAATGCGCATACCAGGGCAGGCCAGCCCCTGCTGTATATTCTGGTACTAGTAGTCCACAGTGAAGTGGCATTGATTTCCAGTGAGGTGATGCGAGAATCATACTGCTTGTTGTTATTGTTCCGATAAGGAAGTACTCATACGGGCAATACGGGTGAGAAATAGACAGTTTTGATCTAGCCACTGTGTCTGTGTGTTCCGTGTGCAGGGGCGGCACAAGTAGCAATCCACAAGTTCTCTTCAAGGTGAGTATTGTAGAGAAATTTGTAAGAATTTTTCAGAATGACACCCACGAAAAGAACAAGCTTCAGGACCTCACAAGCAGCATCTTCAAAACTGTTCCACTAGTACTTTCGTTGCCTTCTCATGGGGTGGAATACAAGCAAAAGCTGAGCAAGCACATTGAATGTCCTGTGTTTGTTTTTCTACTGTCCAGGCTGAGGCTGCCCACACTGCTGCAGAGAGTGCCATGATGCAACAAGAAAACAAGTAGGCAGCTTACTGGTACTTGGCATCTCACTCGTGTTTGTTTTTGCATTGTCAGTATCGCAAGGATTGTCGGTGCATGCCGACTTGCTTTGCTGCTGGTGCTTTCTATGCTCGGCCGTTATCAATTCCATGGCATCTGCCACGTTTTGAGAGACATGTACTTTGGTGTTTCCTACCCGTGTGTCTGTGCAGGTATCGCAACTCGGTGACTGACCTATCGCAAGCTCAGCTGGTTTTTGAGCGTCAAGCCGCGGAGTTGATGCGGGTTAGTTTGTACTTGCTCAGAAAGCAGGAAGAGAAAACAGAGAGGGAGTTGCCAATTAGGGCTATCTACACCATCTGGAATGCCCCAAGAGAGAGAACTGTGTTCGAAAGGGGACTCCATGCAAACATTCTCATTGACTCTCTTCTGGATTTTCAATGAAAGTCTACGTGTTGGGTACTGAGTCTACTATTGGCATTCCAATTGTTGTGCCATCGAAAGTTGTCACCGCACAAGGTTGGAGCCCTTCCGATCTTGAACTTGCATTGGAGAATGTCGAACTCTCTTCAATACTGGATCACATCAGCAAAGTGTCCTGTCAACCAACTTTCACTGTGGAACATTTGAATGCTTGTGTGCAACAGCAAACCGAAGACCAAGAAATCGACCGTGTGAAGCTGATGAAAGGATCATTCCAGCAACTTGCCAAGTAAGTTCAGGACTTACGTTGCTCTCGTTTGACACACTTTGAAATATTTTCCTTATAGCCAGTGCACGCAATGCCATGGATTATTCACATCCAACTCTGTTTGTCTCTGAGGGGGACGTTTCATTCTGGCAAGGGCAGTACGTTCATGTCAGAGGTGACGGTGCATACTTGTGTACGTCTACGCCAGGGTGCTGGTGTCAGTGCTTCATATCAGTGCTCTGTACTGGCTGTGCTAGGTGCAGTGAAGTGTTCGCTTGAAGAAAAAGTACTTAGAGGAGACCATCAGATTCTGTCTTTAGGGACCAGTCACCTACAGTCCATTCAGAAAAAGATGAGCGCTGGCCCCGGCGAGCTCCCGTGTTTGGTGATTTCGCCAGTGACGCGAGATTCGAAACTTGAAAAAGGGTCCAAAAAAGGTACCTCAACTGGGGTTTGAACCGCAAATGTTCTGTTCTGCAAGTGGAGTGCACGGGTTGGATTTTCAGGGCTTTTCCCCAATTCAGTGCTTTGGGGGCAAAACCTGGCCGAAATCCTATTCTTGTGATGGCTTGCTTTTTGGAGAAATAGACTTCAAAAACACAATTGGAAGAGCATTCCATGGGGGATTGCCAAAACAAATTGAGACAAAAACTCAAAATTTGACCCATTTATGGCCAAAAGCTAGGATATCATCTTTTTCTGAATGGACTGTAAGGCATCACCAGTCCAGCCTGCATGGTACATTAGAGACACTGTTCTTTGAAGTAGAAAGATTTGTTTGCTGAGCACCATCCCGTAGGTCAGGCAGCGCAAACAGTGTTGAGTGTAATTTTAATTTTTGTGTCATCCCAATTTCACAAGACGAACAACAATGTCATAATAGCGATGCTCATGAGTTGCCACAAAGCTATTGCGGCATTATGGTACCGCAACTGCTTTGTGGCAACTCACGAGCATCGTTTTTTTAAAGTCATACTGTAGTGTGTCTTTCAGAAGTGGACTTGTAACAGCTGGCATATTGGGTTTGGGGCGACGGTTTTCTTTTAATGTGCTGTGTGATCACAGGAGTATGTCCAACACTGCGCCCACTTACCTAGGGGGCATGCAGCGGATGCTTATCTTTGCCGATGCAGTGGATGCTCGGCAGGATGTGGAAACCTTTGTGCACACGCACAGCGTTCTAAAGCAGCACTTAGCTCGTCCCCGGTTCCAACCTCACCCTAAACGAGTAAGATAGCAGGTGTTCACCCTTGTTTAAGCCATGGCCATTGTTTCGCGTGACTGTGATTCACATTGCTGCGTAACGTGTTTCCCGTGTTGGTCCTGTTGAGTTAGAAGATGCTCTGCATTCATGAATACTACTTCCTCCGCGTCATCGAAATTGTCGCAGTTTGACTAGTGACTTGTCACTTGTTACTGACAACTCGGTCTCCATAAGCTAAACCATTCAAAACTTATTACACAGTATGATAGTCTGAGGACTAGAGTAAAGTTCTAGGACAGTTGGACTGAGAGTTTTCATGCAGAGATGAAGTCCTCGTCTTCGCTGATGTCAATGGACGCAAAAATATTGTTCCGAAATATTTCAAGGAAGGTTGAAAGCTGGTCGTGCCTCGTCTCAAACGCTTTGACTTTCTCCACAGGACAGTAGCTGCTATGCTTGTCGTGTGCTAGCTCTGGATGATTTCTACTTCACCACCAACGAAGCCTAGTAAGAATACACGATCGTTGCGAGGTCGGTTGATTACCGTCGGCGGAATCACCTCGATCTTGAAATGAAGTTTTTTTAGCCGTGGCATGCCCATTTGTTTTAGCTGTGTGGTCACAGCTCATGCAGGTAGGTGTACTATCACGTCCAGCGCGCCCATTTTTTGTCAGCATCACTGGTACGGCACCTGCGCGTGCATCACTAGCACTAGCTCTTGCAGGTACAATCATGTACTGAGTGTCTCAGCCAGAGCGACAAATTTTATCGCTGTTGCATGCATTATTTTAGTTTGTGGACCCCTCGATGTTTCTCCAAGCGCTGCTACTAGGTCCACGAAGTCATTCTCACCCCAGCTAAGGTAAAACAGTGATGAGGCATGAGTGAATGGCCATAAGCACGAGAAATGTACAGGCTGCAATGCCTGACTGATCTCAGCGAGTCGAAATTACCATCGCAGCGACATCAGCGAAGAAATTGCGTCTAGTTCAAATATTTCAGCTTCCAATAACAGAAAATAGAACTTTGCCGTCACCCTATACTGATAACTATCGCCTATGTCCGGTTCCTTGCCTCTGGTACGAGTGCTGGTGAGTAAATACCCCGTTTTATATCAAAAGTCAAACTGCGACAATTTCGATGACGCGGAGGAAGTAGTACTTGGACTCGGATGGAGAGCCAAGGATAAATTTATAGAAAAGAAAAAGGACCAAGGAGCTACAAAAGTTACCGGTCCGCCATAATGTAGCGCATTATACCGTAACTTGTAGCTCCTTGGTACTTTTTCTTTACTAGTACTTGGATTACACATTTGTCTAGCATACTTGGCTGTTGGGGATAGGATGATGCCACCATACTGATGTAGTCATGCTGTAATCTGTGGCAGTTGTTGATCGCATTGTGACATTTTTCATATTTATTTAAACATTATTTTGTTGCATTCCAGGCCCCAGTTTTAATTTTGCATCTCAAACTTATCATTATGTCGTGGCCTAAGGCTGAGTGTCTTCTCTACGTAACCCCGTAACCCAAAGTCCGTTGGCACAAAATATATGTGCACTTCTTAGCCCAAACCCAAGCGTAACGGACAACACAAAGCACAAGCAGTTTAACTGTTAGTTGTGGATTCAGTTCAGGTTCAATAGTGAGGAAGGATGTTGCGCTCACTCCGTTGGGTCAAACTCTCTCTCTAGGACTAAAAGGGAAAGCAAGCTCTAATATAGTAAAAGAGAGTAAAGGAAAGAATAGAGATCGGGGAATTACTTTACATAGACAGAAAATGGTACTCATCAGTGACCCGGAACCCGTGATAGAATAGGTGGATAAATCAACAAAACCTCCAAAAATAACAAAATGATAACAAAACAAAAAAAAGTTACATCAACATCTGGTGCCTGAACTTTCTATTACGTATTCTTCAAGCTCACTAGCAAAGATAACCCAAGATTCTCAACCTCCGTGAACTCAATAACTACCATTCAATACCTCTGCACCCCTTCAAAACCAGTAAACCAGTTACTGCTTGCAAAACAAATACTTCAGACAAACCCTTCCAAAACCTTGAAAAATAAAACCAACTATTTAAACCTCCACTGACAACCAAAAAAACAAAACTCACGAAAGACGATGGTCTGATCGCGTGCATATATCTCCGTACTCTTACCTGGCCAGCTCCGCTCTCCGTTGATCAGTCGGACGCGAGCTCCCGAGCACCACAGCAGCCTCTCGCCGCGTGTCACGTAGCCGGCTACGTATTTCACAACACAAACCACTCCACGGTCAGATTAGGCTTCAATTCCGTCGCCAGCACTCGGCAGCAATACAACGACGGGCAATTAGCGCAACCACAAACCGCGAGCCATCGGAGCTTTTTCTCTCTACTCCGATCTTGGATCCAGTCACGAGACCAGGAACTTCTCCAGTGACGATTCGCACCGCACCAATCGTGCGCACAATCATTCTCTTGCACCAGGCGGAACCACATCGCCAAAGGTGCATCAGACCAGACGAAGCGTAAACCAGGCGAAACTCAATCGCCACGCGGGACAAAGGACAACTATCAGCGGAAACTGAAACGAAACATGAATAGGACGGAGGCAGCGCCAGGCGCCTGTCAATCACAGCGGCGTAATACGAGTACGATACCATGCATACAATAGGGCTCCTGACAATCAGAAACCATAAGCGCCAAAGGGGAAAACGACTATCGGCGGAAGCCGGGTGGTCAGCGGTCGTGGTCGGCCCTACTAATCAATAGGGGTGCCATGGCGGCGGAAGACCACAGCGTGCCTAACGGCACACTCTTCCAACGTAACCCAGTCATAATCATAGGTGGCGTGCTTGCGCCGCGAAGCGAGCACGTAGATCTACGTGGACAGTAGGAATCAAGTGGGCGAGACGCACCCTTGGTACAGTGCGTGCAAGGAGCATCGATCTCAGCGTTGCCTCACTCAACATCAGTGGCGGGCAATACATTGTATTGGACTACCAAAGCCTCGGCGCATCCTGAGCAGATGGCTCGAGCGCAGCGTAATAATCATGCAACATTAATCACTGTCCCAGATATGGTTGCGTGCGTGATTCTTCCATAATAATATTCGTGCCAGAACAGTTCGCGACTGTTATTGTTTAGCGTAATGCCGGTGGAACATGCACACCGGATAATAATTCCGTGCTCAGAACTAGAATCAGAACTCAAACTTCGACCTGGTGCCCCAGATTGCACTGTAACAACGGAATGTTTGAGGGCTGACTGTTCACAGCGTCATGCAAGACCCGTAGTCTACCCTGTACTGATGTAGATCTACCATGTACCGGATGCCAAGAGTAGAGTCCAGGCTAGGCGTACACACACAACAGAACACAGTATTCTGGTTCAGGCAGGCCGTGGTTCTGACCTGGTATCGTCACAAGCGTAAATTATTTTTACCATGAGAGTTGAGAGATAGCATTTTGACGCATGCAAGACATAGCATGGAAAATGCAGCGGCGTAAACGGTAAAGACTATTATGTAGTCAGCGAAGTATTAGTTATTGCAGCTAGCAGGCGTACAGAGTAGTGGCCAGAGCAGTGGGCAAAACGTGAGTTACACAAGTCCTGCGGGCATTTCCGCTTCCTCCAGCGCCAGTGGGTCACTGACTGACCGGTCAGCGATATCCGTAGTGCCCGTGTCCTTCGGCTCGGCCTCTGTGGCTGGACGGGCGTCAGCGCTGTCGTTCCCGCGCCGTGCCAACGGGCTCCTACTCCTAGAGTGATTCCTCGACGCAGCTCGGGAGTTGTTTCGCTGGCCAGGGCGCTGACGATGAGGGCGACCGGGTTGTGCGCCATGCCCCAGATGCGTTGGCCGAGTGTGGCCACGAATCTCATCCTCAACAACGGCTGCTGCCCGCAGCTCTTCGTCAACGTTCTTCCGCAGGAAGCGTACCAAAATTCGTTCCAGGAACGACAGGTCGTCCCGGAGACGGCGTAAAGCTCTGGCAGAGCTAGTGCGGCGCATGGCCTGCAGGGCGTTGGCCCCATCCTCCAACGCTTGGCGTACCTCACTCATGGTCGTCGAGAGTGAGGGAGAGAGAGGAGAGCTGAACTGCCTTCGGACGGGGACAAAGAAGAATCCTGGTCACAGCACCAAGTGTCGTGGCCTAAGGCTGAGTGTCGTCTCTACGTAACCCCGTAACCCGAAGTCCGTTGGCACAAAATATATGTGCACTTCTTAGCCCAAACCCAAGCGTAACGGACAACACAAAGCACAAGCAGTTAGTTGTGGATTCAGTTCAGGTTCAATAGTGAGGAAGGATGTTGCGCTCACTCCGTTGGGTCAAACTCTCTCTCTAGGACTAAAAGGGAAATCAAGCTCTAGTATAGTAAAAGAGAGTAAAGGAAAGAATAGAGATCGGGGAATTGGGAGGTAGGGTAGTGATAGCAGTGAACGAGCTGTGAGCTGCGCTAAACTAACTATTGCTAATGATGAATTGGAGTAGCAAAGCGGAACAGCAGACCAGCGGACCGGCAACAGAGACAATAGACGACAGTTCTATGGTAATGGATAGTCTAGGTCCGGCGACAGGAGAGGTTAGCTTATCGTAATCAAAAGGAAGAGAACAATACTCTAATGGGCATTGATGAGGGGCTGCGGTAGAGGTAGGTGACAGGCTGATAATGAATGTGTGCAGCACTACTATACAGTTGTATTGGTGAGTAGTACTATATATCCAGGGCCATGACAATTACAACATGAGAGAGCGCCCCCTTCTTAGTGTCTGTCCTTCCGTTTGACTGCATGTTTTCCGATCTGTCTGTCTTTCCGTCTGTGTGTATGTGTCTGCCTTTCTGTCTGTGTGTGTGTGTGTGTCTGTCTGTTTGGCTGGCTGGCGCTGCATCCTTCCATCTGTCTGCTTGCCCGCTTTTCTCTCTGTCTGTTCATCTGCTGTACTGCCTTACATTTCCTTGTGGGATTCAGGCAACGGCCTTTGCTGACTACACAAGACCAGGTATGTTCAATGCGATGATATAAGAGAGGTTGAGCAGAGAAAAGTTTCGTAGCCTTTCAATGGAGAAAGGCTAGGTCGAAAATCTGTTCATCGGGGGGGGGGGGGGCTTGCGTGCAAGTGGGAACATCACGGTTTTTCAGAGTATGGCAATTGAGTCTTGGCAGTCACGCATACACATGGTCAATGTACAACACAGTACGCAGGTGTTGAGAGTGATGTACATATAAATGTCTGTGTTGCGGTATGGCGATGACTGTGAAAATAGGTTCATTTCTGAGCTCTTCTCGGTCAAAAGTTGCCGTTTATATTGGCTGTAACATCTGAATCTTACTTTCGTTGTGCGCAAACTTTCTATTCTGTTAAGCTCCGATTTGCATGCACCAGTTACTGATGCTAGGCGATTGACTCGGTGCAGAATGCCTGTACGACTTCGTCGTGTCGTGTGTTGTATTGGGTGACTGTAGGTTCAGCCCCATGGTCATGTTGTGTGTTGTATTGGCTGTCTGTAGGTTCTGCTCAGTTTGATCCTGATCAAGCGTCACCGACTAAGGGAGTTGGCTCACCGTCCAGCACTGGATCGGCATCGTCCTCCAAAGAGAGCTTTGTCACCTCAATGGAAGGCAAGACCAGTGACCAGAAGCTAGGCTTGGCCGGTCGTCCAGATCTCGATAACGACGAGCCAGTTGCTCTACCCGAAGGCCTGTCACAGCACGAAGAAGGTATGCAGTGTGGCTGCTCCAGTGAGGCCTGGTCCAATATGCATCGTAGTTAGTGCTTGATATGCACTGTGGCTGTCCCGGTGAGGCCTGGGCCAACTTAGTGTTTCTGGCTGCAATGTCTCTATTACTTTGCGTGGACAGTCAGTATCAGATAGTGCTCTGGTGGTGGTAGACACATGAATAATAAATTATCTCATTAACTTATTCACACACACGGCGATGCGCACGCCTGCACACACACACACCTGTCCTGTCCTGTCGAGCCACTGCCACAAGGGTCACGTGGGCCCTGAGGGGCAACGGAGAGAGAAGAGGAGAACTCCGTCACACGGCGTCCGGGACACAACGAGAGGTCGCCAGGATGCAGGTCACCTACGACTGTTACAACGAGACTGACGTATGGCTGGGGAGAACCTGAGCAGCGGTGTCTATTCCTTCCCTGGACCGAACAGAAGCAGCGGCCGCAGGACGCACAGTGCGCTCCACAACACGGCTCCACTGCGGCTGGGGACTGAGCCACACACTTGTGACGGGCAAGGCCACCACGGCTCAAGAACCAACGGCCGCAGCAATCACACGGACATGCTCCGTGCTGTTCATTCACTGGTTTTGCACGCTCTGCAGTGCACTTGTGCCTGGCACGATCCTGGGGGCACGAGAACGTCCTCTTGCACACAGCACAGTTGACAGCAGCAGCCGCACCCCTAAGGACGCTGTGCGAAGAAGATGCATCAACGTCTGTCGAGGTGTATGCTGACCTCCATCCGGCGCGAGACTCCCGTGCAGTTGCATACCAGCTACCATATACATCACGGGACTTGAGGTCGGACACTGCGCAGTCTTTCCAGCGGCGCCGAGGACCATGGGCCGGGCGCCGAGCAAGCATTCACACACACACACACACACACACACACACACACACACATACACACACACACCCTCCCCCCCCCCCCCACACACACACACGCACGAACAAAAGCCATCTATGGTTTGTGTTTGTTATTGCCTGCATTGGGCTTTGTATGTGCACATATGTGCGTGTGTTTCAGGACTATTGAGGCGACTCCTGGAGCTGAGTCGGGCAAATGACTTCTACGGGTTGATCGGGGCAGCACCCAGTGCTTCAAAATCTGAACTTGCCAAGGCACGTCGGCAGAAAACGCTGCATCTTCACCCGGATCATTTTGCTGGAGACGCCGAGTCCAAGAAAAGGTACACCATCACAAAGCTTGTCCAATGCATTACAGGCCCTGTGGTGGGTTGTGCTAGTTGACTGTCCGTAGTAGCATAATCTGTTTGCAATACTGCTGTTGGTTTCAATTTCTAAAGAAAAATAATTGTGTTTTAGACTCCTCTCTCTCTCTCTCTCTCTCTCTCTCTCTCTCTCTCTCTCTCTCTCTCTCTCTCTCTCTCTCTCTCTCTCTCTCTCTCTCTCTCTCTCTCTCTCTCTCTCTCTCTCTCTCTCTCTCTCTCTCTCTCTCTCTCTCTCTCTCTCTCTCTCTCTCTCTCTCTCTCTCTCTCTCTCTCTCTCTCTCTGAGTGTGATGTTTAGTGTCGTGGGGGAGTGTACACCCGCTGTATTTTACGTGCACTGCAAAAAATGGACTAGCAGTGCTCACGGCTGCAAGGCCAGCGCCCCGTGGCCGCTTGACTTCTAAACGGACTTCCATGTCCACAACAGTAGATGAAAATATCATACATTACTACTGTATGAAATAAGATGTATCTCGCCTGTTGCCAATCGCCTTCGTTCCCGTAGCACTTGGCATGTGTCGTGCTTATGTCCATACTGTTTGTGCTTTGTTGCTTTGTTTCCCTCGCCTGCGCAGTGCGTCAGAAGCGCTCAGTCTGCTTAATCAGGTGTACACGGATTTGCTGACCAAAGATGCCGTTCGTTCGCAGTACGACCAGCTGTGCGCGATACGACTGGTAAGCCCATGTCCCATCCTTACCCATTCTTTCTGCGCTGTCTTTTTATTCCTAGTGCTAACTTTCACCTTAGTTTACCGGGTGTAACAGCTAAGTTGACCCCAGTTATAGTCGACCCCCCGCTTTAGTTAGGCGTTTAGGTCCTAAAAGATCGACTTATACGCGGAAAAGTACGGCATTCCTCGTCAGTATCCTGTGGCATACCATTGGGTTTATACTTTATAGTGTGTGTGCATCCATGTATTGTGAAGATCCTGTGCTTATAGATTCGACATCCTACTTGTACCTTGTATCTTACTGTCTGGTGATAAACTTGGTTCGAATACACACCTGATGTGCAAGATGGACCCTTTAGCACATCAGCCTAGACGTTGTGTTAGCATACGGTGAAGTAGATCTAACTGGCTGGAGTATCTGCCAGATTTGATTCAGACCCTCGCATTGGTTTGTGCAGGAATAGTCCCGGCTTTTGTGTGCGGATTCATGGCACCGGTGTCTATCTGGTGAGTTGCCTCGAGACAATCCAGGAATTGCAACCCAGACGTTCTCTGCAGCCAGTGCAGTCGACAATGACGACTTGTTGTGTGTTGCTCGATCTAGGGCTATCCACGCCTGTCCTTGCTGGATGCTGAGGGACTTGCGGGTAACGAGCGGCGTCTAACGGAGCTCAAGAACGGCTTGCGCAAGGCACGGGCACCCGCTGTCCTTATCGTGGAGCTGGAGCAGGCGCTAATGGTCGTCAGTCACTTTCGGACAGCGCGACATTCTGCTCAGCAACCCCCTGCTTCTCGCGATGCTGCGAGGGCTGACGCCAGTGCAGAGGAGCCTGAAAGTGCTCCAGAATCCTCTGATGCCACTGTGGATAGGCCCGTGGCAGCAGCAACAGAAGCAGCAGCAGCGGAAACACAAGAAATGCCTACAACATCAGCAGCCGCGGCGGCAGCAGATGTGTCATTTGACCAAGATAACAGCGCTTCAGCCATACTAGATGCTATCGATGCGGCCGTGTCAGTCAGGGTTGAGCCAGGCGAGCAAAGCGCAACGTAGCCGGCCCGCTGCGAACTAGCACCCGTTTGACATTAGAGATGGGTGTAGAACAGTCAGCATGCCACGTGCTGTGCAGCGTGTAGGTTTGTGGTAGTATTTTTGATTGTGGAGGTGAGTATGACTAATAGCACAGCTCCTACGCATTCTATGTGTGCGAGTGCGGGTGCGTGGGTGTGTGACCCCAGTGGCAACACTATCTCCGGGTGCCTTCATCCTTGTCTGTAGATGGTGTGTGCATGTGTTTCATCCTTGTCTGTGTATGGTGTATGTGTGCCGTGTTACTGTGATTAATGAAGGACTTTCCGGTAGCACTCTTGATGTATTGCTTATACCTCCCCCCCCCCCTCCCCATTGATATACTACGTTTACGATCTTCAATCTTGGTTGATCCAGGGCTAAACGCCCCTCTGGATTTGTAGTTGTCTCACCCATGGATGTTTTTATTGACGTTCAACTGCAGCGTTTCTTGATAACTCCGACTAACTGCCATTGGGCACTAGTGTACTGAATTTCTCCTTCGGCTGTATTTTGGGCTATTTCAGCTTGGCTAAGTCTTGAAGAATGCTTCTAGATAGGCACCTTTTCTCTGGGGAATCATTATTTTTTATCAAAATTATTTAAAAATTCTAATCCTATTTCTGTCCATTGCTATGATCTCCTAACCGTTTCAGTCACTAAAAGCGTACGATTTTTCTCGTGGAACTCATTAGACATGCTCCCTTATTTGAAGTTATATCATACAGCTATGTCCAAACGTTGTTTATTAGATAATTTTGTTGACTATTGAAACAATGTTGATTTCTTGTACCTTTTATTTGAAAGTCTCAGCATCCCCTGCTCACAGCATACAAGTATTTACTATACTAAGCGCATATTGAAGTATTATTTTCATAAATGAATGTCATGAAACACTACAATCATGGCTTAGGCGTAAAGAAATCCGAAGTGCATGCTTCTCTATTTGAAGAAAAAACTGAAATCCGTGCCCATATCGTTTTCATTACTCGCTATTTGATTATCTAGATATCCTGTAAGGCCTAAGGTTATTCGCAGGTTTGCTGTATGCACGAACCCAGTGTACATGCTACATGCTTATAATCTATGCTGTGCACCGTTTGTTTGCACCAGCGAACTAGCTTGATTATTGCCGTACGTGCTCGTGAATTTTGAATTGAACAGCTCATCTTGTGAGTATGGAAGTTGTGATGGTATTATCCCCAAAAAGTGTTATTTTGAGAATGCTTGTGAGGCTGTGTGGCTGCTGGCGTGTGTTGTAGGCTGCATGCTCCCGTCCTCCCCAATGGAATCCAGTCGCGTCACTCACGTTTGCGCCTGGCATCATTTCGCAGCCCAGTGTTCGTAGGTCTAGCTAGGGCTGTGAGCGCCTACTTGAGTGACACAACTGGATTTCATTGAGCAACACTGTAGTACTCCTGTCCTGCTGAATGCCGCCCGTTGCGACGGTGTGGTACTCGTACTCGTACATGGTCAGTGGATCTGGTGGTGTATGTGACCATCGTGCTAGACTTGCATCACAGCGGTAAAGAAGAGTCTTTTCCCTCTGCCCAGCGCAGCTTCCAAGCGCATTTTCATGCATGCACGACGCGCCGACACACTGCTTGATCAAATACACAGAACATGTCTTTCCCTCTCTCCTTCAAAGACTGCAATCAATGTTGTTGTTGCTGCTGCTGTTGTTGTTGTTGTTGTTGTTGTTGTTGTTGTTGTTGTTGTTGTTGTTGTTGTTGTTGTTGTTGTTGTTGTTGTTGTTGTTGTTGTTGCTGCTGCTGTTGCTAATGTATATTGCTATTGTAAATAAACTAAATGCCGCAGCTTGACCATCACCCCTAATAATTTCTCCACTGAACGGATCATGATCATAATTATCATGATGAGTGTGCAGTCATGGTTACTAACACTGAGCTGTAGCCATGGTAACGTACTGTGCTAGAATTCACACTCTTTTCTCTGCAAGGCGTACACAGCATAATTATCTTGCCCTAGGCCCTCAGCTAGAAGTCCGCACGCGTGGACGAGTCATTGTCTATTTTTTGTACACGCGCTACATGCAACTCTTTTGCCTGAGGCATAAGTATGTTCGTGTACTGTGTGTGCATGTGTATGTGCGTGTGTGTGTGTGTGTGTGTGTGTCTCATATGGTGCAGTGGTATGTGCAGTCGATTTCCAATCGAGAGGTTGCGGGTTCAATTCCCGACGATTATGGTCGCACACGTCTTTCTTCTCTTTCTCGGACTCTTCCTGACTTTTCTTTCATTCTCCTGAGTGGTTACCAACAGCCAGTGTATGCCGGAGTATGGTGTGTGTGTGTAGAAAAAAAATGGAAAAATGAAAAATAGGGATTCACTGGCCAGAAAAAGTCACTTCAAACAGCTGTGTGGTGGATACCAGGCTAAAAATAGTGGCGGTCAATTCATCAGCCTTGCAAGCTGTTGAATGGTGTAATCCCAGCACAAGTTGCTATGTCTAACATAGCTGTTCGCTATCATTGCTTCCGCGATGGGCATGTCTGAGGTCTGAGGTGTGTGTGTGTGTGTGTGTGTGTGTGTGTGTGTGTGTGTGTGTGTGTGTGTATGTGCGTGCGCGTGTGTGTGCGCGCGTGTGTGTATGTGTAAATATACTGTCAACGATCATCTTGGCTCTAAGTTTTCTTTGTCATGGCTAGCTATGAGTCGATCTTTGTAGGACCAGTGACCCATGCAAGATCATGAGATGAAGCCAACCTCATACAGAGTCCTGCACACATACATGACTAACGTGATCATGGTGACTGTGAGTAATGTCTGTCATGCCCTGTTCTGCATGGCACTACTTCTGCATGACCATGGCATGATGACGGACTGTCAGTATGACTCTACATGTAAGTCTAACTCTATGATGATGAGTCTCACTCTGAGGCCGAGGCTGGACTCCGATCTGGTATGGAGAGAAGTCGCGACAACGCCTGTTATGTCAGCCGCGGCGAAGACTTATTGGCTTCTGCACTCATACAGAGAGTGGTAGATCTACATGCGCTGGCCCATGATGGCCTGGATTGTACTGTCGTCATGTAGAGTGTATGTGGATCGTACAATGACATACA